GCATCTTATTTATCAAAATAATTAGATAGTACTCATATGATTAACTTGTCTTTTGTTTGTACCTTAAAAAATCACATGCTCTTAGCTCCTAGAAGTTGCCTCTAAATATAGAATCCAATGTTTCCTCTAATAATGTTTTATAACTCTCTGTCGTTTCTTGAAATAGGTATTCTCATATGAGTATTGATTTTTATGATTTACATTTTTATTCAAGATTCTGCGGCTCAGAAGTAGTAACTTTTAGTGGTAAACAATAGTGTACTTTTGAGGAACTAAAGAATTAGTTTGGAGGTCAAATCAATAATATACATTTTTGAAATTAAAAATAAGGTGGATTCTCTTATTAGTGATCTGTGATTGGGTGTTGCATATGGGACTGTGATTAAGGAAAATCTTTTTATTATATATAATTAAATAAATTAAAAACACCTGTCTCTCACATTATTTTAAAGGAAAAGTATTAATCTCTTTGTGTGTGCCCCATGCTACTTTCTTTGACTATGTTCATAGTATTTTTTTGGGTAATTTGCAGGCCAGGGCAGAAGACCAAGTTTTATTTTCACGGTTTGGCAAAGTGGGCGTGAGTTCTCATGGATTAACAATTTAGCCAAATTCTGACCATTTTACCCCTGCCAGCGTACTGTTCCGCGTACGGTTTAGTTACTCGGTTTAGTTACGTACACTGTTCCGGTTATGCAAATTTTTTGGCGTTTTTAATATATTTGTGCGGCTGTACAGTGAAAATGGGGATTAATAACAATAAAAAACATTGTGACATCAAGATTTAATGCCCAAAAAGTTTAGACATGACTCTTGTCACAATTAATGCAAAACTCATCATTACTTGTTCTAATATTAGTTTATACGTGTGAATAGTTGTAAGAGATAAACAAGATCCATCAAACAAACAAATTAGTCTGAACGAATGTGATGCTGGAGAAGTTTTGATCTTCTTGATTTACAAAGTTTGGAGCCAAGACAAGCATTGATCGTGTAAGTAATGAAATTGGTTAAGAAGTTTTTTTGTTATAACACACTAGGGTCTTGATTGTGTTCGAAATCAACATTGTTTTTATATACAAACCCAGAATATTTTTATTTCCAATTTTGTTAGTTGAAAATGCTAAATGAGGATAGATTTATGTATATAATTGTGTAGTTGGGAATTCTTTTTGTTTTTTGTAGATATAATCATGCTTTGAGTTGCATTTAATGGGGTTCTGCTGAATTTATGATGCAGGTGGGTAATGGATATTCCCGTATTTACTATGGTGGGTGAGTGGAGATGCAAAGAAGAAGAATGGAAATTTGAACCAGAGGAAGGCAGGTTTGGTCGTTGTGTACGTGTTAAGGAAAACATGACGTACACGGAATTTGTACGTACATTATGCGAGGTTTTCAGTTTGAAGTCCACCGAATGCAATCCAATAATTAGTTACTGGATGCCGGGAAAGATGTCAGTGATGATAGAAAGTAAACGCCCTCCTGTCTACATTGACAATCAAATGAGCCTGGATACCTTCTTTTTGATTCGTGGTGGGGATCCTAGTGTCACCTTGTTTGTCTCTTTCATTACAACCGTCAAGGCACTCGGGAATACTGTCCCTAGGACCGATGGTGACGATGGTGAGAGTGACCGTGTGTGTGGGAGTGCAAAGACACCAAATCCCATCATAGCGGCTTCAAATGTAGATGGAAATAATGAGGCCGTATATGAGGAAGACGACGCTGAAGACGATAAAACAGATGAGGATGAAGAAGAGGAGGAGGACAACGAAGATGGTGCTGGGTATGATGATTATCAGGGTGATGATGGATCTATGGGGGGAAGTACCCTCGATCCTACTATAGATGGTAGTGAAGGCAGTGGCGAAGATTACGATTACAACAAGTGGAACGATATAATTGTTGAAGAATATGGAATAGGACATGTCGAGGAGGACGTCATTCTCACTCAACAAACGGTTCAACATCCAGGGGAATTCAGTCGTTTATTGGCAGAGTGTACGTACACAAGTCGTCGTGTACCTGGAGGAGATAACTCGGTTGACCGTACACCAACCGTGACTCCAAGACCTACGTGTCAACATGGTTTGTACCAATGTACGTACACAACTGAATGTGTACAAGATACAGGCTGCGAAGGTAACACCGATACCAATATTAATGGTATAGACGAAGTCTCTGGGGATGATGTCATTGACCGTGGTATTGGAGCTTGCTCAAGTGGGACACTGAATGATAATCGGCTAGTTACCGCAGCTGAGGCTTATGAAGTGTATAATGGCTTTTCTTCATTACATGGTGGCGAGTTGGAGATTCTCGACAATGATGCTGCTCCGGTATTCGATGATTTAGCCAATTTTCGAGCCGATGAGACACAAGTTGAACTCAGTACGACAGGTGAGACTTTGTATGTGGGGAGTGTTTTTAAGAACAGAAAAGTCATACAACAAACAATGTCTTATCTCGCAATCAAACAATGCTTTTGCTACAAGCAACCTAGGTCATGTCCTACAAGATTGGAGATGGTTTGCGTTGATGATACTTGTCCATGGCATTTGACTGCTCAAGTCGTCAAGAATTCAGAATGTTTCAAAATCACATCGTATGATTCCACCCATACGTGTGACGTCGACACTCGGAAGAATTATAATAAACATGCTAGTTATAAGCTTCTCGGAGAGGTAGTGAAGAGCAGATACAGTTCTACGCAAGGGGGTCCGAGAGCTGTCGATTTACCACAGTTGCTCCTAAATGATCTCAATGTTCGGATTTCATATTCTACCGCTTGGAGAGCTAAAGAGGTTGCAGTGGAAAATGTACGTGGGGATGATATAAAAAGTTACAGGTTTTTGCCCACCTATTTGTATCTCCTTAAATTAGCTAATCCGGGTACAATAACTCACCTACACTCTACACCTGAAGCTGATGGTAAGCAGCGCTTTAAGTATGTATTTGTCGCTCTCGGGGCTTCTATAAAAGGTCTGAAATATATGAGGAAGGTAATTGTCGTAGATGGAACGCAGCTAGTAGGACGTTACAAAGGATGTCTCCTCATTGCATGTGCCCAAGACGGGAACTTCCAAATATTTCCAATAGCTTTTGGTGTTGTTGATGGTGAGACTGATGCTTCATGGGTGTGGTTCTTTGATAAATTAGCTGACATTGTTCCAGACAGTGAAGATTTAATGATTGTATCGGACAGACATTCTTCTATATATAAAGGCCTCAGTGTGGTTTATCCGAAAGCTCATCATGGAGCATGTGCAGTACACCTTGAGCGAAATATCTCCACCTATTATGGTAAGTATGGTGTATCTGGATTATTCTTCAGCGCTGCTAAAGCTTATAGGGTGAGGGATTTTGAAAAATACTTCGAACAGTTAAGGGCTAAGAGTGCTGGATGCGCAAATTACTTAGAGGAAATTGGATTTGAGCATTGGACAAGAGCTCACTGTAAAGGGGAACGCTACAATATCATGTCTAGCAACAACTCGGAGTCTATGAATAATGTCTTAACAAAAGCCAAATCATATCCGATTGTGTACATGATAGAGTTCATTCGAGAGGTCCTAATGCGATGGTTCGCAGCGAGGAGGAAAAAAGTGGCTAGGTGTAAGTCTTTAGTGACGCCTGAGGTTGATGAGCGTTTTCTCCAAGATTTGCCTGCCTCAGGGAAATACGCGGTGAAGATGTCTGGACCGTGGAGTTATCAAGTTACAAGCAAGTCAGGTGAGCATTTTCATGTCGTCCTGGACGAGTGTACGTGTACGTGTCTTAGGTACACAAAGTTAAGAATCCCATGTGAACACGGTCTAGCAGCTGCAATCGAGTTTGGAATAGATCCGAAGGTTGCTGTCGGATGGTGGTATGGCCTTCAAACGTTTTCCGATTCTTTTCAAGAACCCATTCTACCTATCGCGGATCCGAAGGATGTTGTCATCCCACAACATATATCGGATTTGATACTAATTCCTCCATACAGTAGACGACCACCAGGAAGACCAACAACCAAAAGGATTCCATCTAGAGGTGAAAACCGGGTAAGTGCTATCATTCAAACCTGTAGTCATTTTTCAAATATCCCTCAACATTATGTTTTGAGTATAAGATGCGTAGATTATTAACTTATTGTTGTTGTCACTTCAGAAAAAGAGACAGAAAAGACTTATTCCGAATCAGTGCACACGATGTAGACAAGCAGGTCATAACAAGAAGACTTGCAAAAATCCAATTTAGCTCTGTAGGTAGTGTGTTTTTTTGGCAAAGTGTGGGCAGTGTACGTTTATGTATTTTTGTGTTTCCAAGTTTATTTCGGTGTACGTATGCCTTTGTACGTTTTCAGTTTCCCCGTGTACGTATACCTTATAAATGAAACGGTTATAGACGGTTACACAAGGGAAAAGGGATTTCCATATCCGTAATTTCTGGACCGTTGATTTTTATACCTGCACATTTTTGAAGTGTATTTTCAAATCGATTTCTCATTTCCTCTTTATCTTCTCGATCATTACAGAAACCCAAACACATACATCATTCATACATATAGATTCTCATATTTCAAAACACATCATGATTTTAGTTCAAACCCACATCATGCATTAACTACAATACATATAGATTCAAAATATAAACCTGAAAAAGAAAATCAACACCAAAGCGAACACCACGATATTCTGCAAGCTACGAAACTGAATTTTCAACTCTGCAACTTCTTTTTCAATCACAGCCTCACAGACACGCGTCTCCATCGTCAGATTCTCAATCTCTGATTCATACACATTGAAGCTTTTTTGCATTGTAATCGAAGTTCCTTCTAAGTTATCAACTTTCTCTATTAAGTCTTGTATCTCCTCTACCATACAAGAATCCGTCCATTTGAACACATGAAACCTATTATCCTGTCATACCAAGCTAAATGCTCTTATATGACACAAAAACACATATAGACAACAATTCCCAGAATTTAGCCACTTACATTGTCTCCAAAAGGACAAGCATGAAACAATCTGCCAGGATTTCTAGCAGTGTTTGACGTCTTCATCACTATAGGTTCTCCGCACCGACACTTCTTAGGGAACCCTCTTAATCGATCACCCATTTCACAACTACCCTGCAAATTTCACCAATTCAGTCTCATTTCTTCATTAAATCGAAGGTCGAGTAAGACATGGTTACCTGCTACCGAAATGGATTACTTCCGATCCAATTTCTCTGTAGCTCTCTGTTCTGCGAATTTCTCCCCTATTTTCACTCTAATTTCGGAGAAGACGAAGAAGAAATGAGAAATCCGATTCTCATTGCGAAACCCTAGAATTCTTATTTTTCCCCCAATTGAAAACGGCGTCGTTTGATTAATTTGAAAACACAAATGTAAAGGTTTATAATTTAAAATGATTGGGACATGTTCGATGAAAGTTGTGGGATCAATTGGTATAAGGTTCTCGAAGAGTCATGAAGGCACACGGGTTCGAGACCCCAATTTTGCATACATAAAACCTTTTAGACCAAGTTGTGAAACGACGTCGTTTTACAATACAAGTCAGCCCCAATGTATTTCCAAACGTTGCACCCTTTCGAACTAACCATTGCTTTCTTTCCCAATTTTTATTATTTAAGACCCAATTTATTTGCTTGGTTTTCCACGTTCCTCCTATCTCTAGAAAACACCAGTCAAATCTCCATTTATATCTGTCAAACACAAACTATCACCCCTTGTGCTTACATTCCGTGTTATCATCATGGACGGATATCATACCATTTCTGAATTGTGTCCAATGATCACTGGGTGGACAATTTGTGTCTTTGTCGTCCGAGTGTTTAAGAAGTTCGTTGCTCCTAACGTTTTCGAAATCGGACTCATCTTGGCAGATGAATCGGTAATATCCCGACCTCTCCTAATTTTTTACCAAAATACAACCCATTTGCTTAAATCTTATTTGCTTTTTCATCATAATCTGCAGGGTTCCCGTTCACGCATAGAGGCAACCATTGACCGTCGTCTTGCTCTTTTTAATTGATCGACTCAAAAAACATGAGTGGAAAATTATCACATCTTTCTCTGTACGTAAAAATGCTGACCCAGTGAAAACAACATCGCACGAGTACGGGATCGGTTTTTGGATCGGACCGTTGTTACTAACGCATGCGAAGGACGCCATTCAATTTTTATGATTTCACTCAATTCGACTAATTATTCAGAAGACGGTTGATAAAAAGGTGTTGGTCGGTGAGTAGTTTTACCTTAGACTTGTACGTACATAATTTTTTTCCAATAGTTACATTAATATCTTGGTTATACCCCAGATGCGGTTGGTGCGGCTTTTGGAGGTTGGAGGAATCACCGAAGACTTTTTACGGTTTGTGAAGCTTCCTTTCAGATCAAAGATAGATAGTACGTATCTCTAGCCTTTGCAAATAAAACTACTTTAATTTGCTGATCATGTTTCTCTTTCCCTCTACTTTAGCAACGAAGTTTTGGAATGTTGAAGCCCACAATCAACAAGCTTTGGACTTCCAAAGTTACTTCCGCAATTATACTCGTCGCAATATTGTGGTAGCACTCGTTTGCTGGAGGGTAACCGGGAGAAATAACCCGAAGCTTGTCAGTCATGGCCCTGTATCAAAGTTGTTTGCTGATCCGGAAGTCCAAGAGATCAAAACGTGGTTTATTAGTCTGAAGGCGTGCATCTTGCTTTGTTTTTTATCGTATTCTAAAAACAACAACAGTTGTTATTTCTATAATCTCTTGTTGCTTAACAACAAACAAATATTGTTGTTTTCTAGTTTGTTATTCTCCCCAAACTTAAAAATATATGGCCTAATTTATTTTTAATTTTTGATCCATTAATATAAAATTCTTGACAAGTGTACGTTCATAATGACTAATTCCAGCATTGTACGTACATATTATAACATTTTCGGAGTTTCCATTTACTGGATGTGTACGATAATATTAGTGTTCTCTACTATGTACGTATACATATTACGTACAACTACAAAACGTTTAATTATTCATATATGTTTAATTCATAAAAGTAGATTTCATTCATTCATAACAAGAGTCCTTAAAAAAGAAAATACAAAGCATAGAAATAAACAGACACCTAGGGTTACTTCATTCATTCATAGCAAGACTCCTAGAAAGGGAAATACAAAACATAGAAATAAACAGACTATTACGGTAGAGATTTATAAGAAATAAAGTAAAGGTGATAGCGGGAGCATAGTCATAAGTGGGAAAATTGCATGCTTCTTCCTTCATATCCATCGCACCTCTAGTAGAAATGCATAGTTCTCGAGCGTACCAATAGAAAAAAACAATTGCGGCAGCAATGTCCGTATGTGCAGCGTCCGATAACATGGTGGACTGATGACAAACCTCCACGATCTTTGCCACAGCGGAGGGCCATGAAGATGAAGTTGACTGATGTGATACATCACCAACTCTCCCACGGCGGTTGCAGCCTCGAATTTGTATCATTTCCCAGAACATTGCATTTACCGGGATGAACTCAGTGTAGCTGCCCGTCGTTGTTAAGAACAAGGCATGTGCGAAGCACGCATATGGGTCGGCTGGGGAGACCGAAGTGAGCAACGCTATACCATGAGTGACGGTCAGGAAGTTGGTACAAAGCCTTACTCCTTCAAGGTATTGCGCACACAAGGATCCCCTCTCCAACAAGATGTCGAAATACGGTCGGAAAGGAGAATCAGGCTGAATGAAATGCGGCCAAGTCATAAACTCGTCCATACAGATGGAGTTGATGTCAACGGCATACACCATGTTCCTAAGGGTTTCGACTGGAGTCTGAGATACAGGAAGGTAGTTTACTAGTATACTGACAGGGTTTGGGAGCAGGACCCGCAATATACATCTCGGTCGGAGGAGGAGTTGGGAGAGGCATTTTTTTTTAATATTATATCGGTTTTGAGTTTGAACGATTTGTGTGTAAAGAGACTTCAGGGTTGTAGTTATTTATAGGGTTATAACAAAGTATGTGAAGGCAACAAGTTGAACTACTTCAATGTGATGTGACATCAGCTCTGGTTAACGATACATTTTTCGAAATTAGGACGAAAGTATAGGTACGTATTTAGTGCTTTATTGATTGAGTCTATCTCCTTCTAACAGTGTACATTTATAGCTCCTCCGTGTACGTCTATATTAGGAACTACTTGTTAGAAGCATTCAGAAATATTAAATATGTTCATTATATAAGTCAGACAAAATGTATTTAATAACTATCCACGAAAGGGGTCAAATCAATAAGGGTAGATTATTACTTGATAAATTTGCTAGAAATAATCTTTCTAAGAGTGTACATTTAAAGCTAAACCGTGACAAGAAGTATTGAATATGACATTTTTTTGTCTTTTATCTGACGAAATCTTTAATCCTCATACATTCCATATGTAGTATAAAATGAAATTAATACCCTTTCAACTATTTTAGATATTTGTGAAAGAGTGTAAAATCATTAACATTTATAACAACAAGTACTATATTGCTATGAAAATTTCAGCACACAAGCATATAGATAATAACATGAAACATCAAAGATAAACTTAGAGGAGTTGGCTAATTCTTTTAGCACACCACCATAAATAGCAAACGTTACACACATTTTAAAGGGACCAGACCTGATGTAACACATCATCGCGCAAGGTGGAGTGTTAAATCCACGAAACTCAGGGTAAGAAAATGTTGCACCATAAGTGTTGTTGTATGTAAGGCCATATTTTTTAATCTCATCTAGCAACTCCTCACACATGTCTCGAGTGTCTTCTGATTGCAACGAGTAATGGTTTCTCTCAAACATTCGAAGATACTCAGCGCCCATGTACGCGTTACCGTCACATATGGAGAGGATCGCACACGCAAGTGTTGCATCAGCGTGATTAGGCACATTGCGATGTAATAGAACTATAGCTCCCTTTATGTCAGATTCATGCGTTAGAAGACGCAGTCCTTCATGATAGATAGCTATTGGATTTCCAGCATCTACGCATCTTTTGAAGAAAGGTCTATAGCGACCTTCGGTGTGGATGTCATTTGGATCATGACCAGCTGCATGGAAGTCATCGGGATCACTGCACAAACTGTAAATATTTGCATCTTGGAGTACATCGGGCCGGTATACAATGTCCCTTCCACGAGGGCCTGATCTTAAGAGAGGCTGTAGGTACCACCAACATTTGTGAGCAATGATCTTCGCAATCTTGGCTAGGACATCGTCAGGTATATTTGGATATGACATGTTTTGGATTGAGGTGTGGAACTCCACATCAATCTTATCCACTTAAATAGGCGAGGTGAAAGTTTTAGTTGGGAAGATAATAGTTGTATTCAATGAGATTAGCAATAAGTGTAGTTCCAATACGTCAGCAATGTCAAATCAATTAACTATATATAACCTTATCTATTTCTTTACTATTTTTACTCCAATACTATATACATTTGTGGTAGCCATATATGTATAGTATGTACGTAAACCGAAATTCATTTTCATGCATATGTACGTACGTCTGAAATTTTAGATATTATGTTTGGATCTTTAGATTAAAACATGAGATTCGTTCAAAATACATAAAATAAGTTTAGAGTGCTTGAAACATAACATAGCCCACACGTAAGCCTGTATAGATATGGGTTTATTCCATGTCAAATCAATTTAATTCACATTTCTCTCATATTTGTAGTTTGATACCTACCAAAAACTGTGTACAATAATTAAAACTAGTGTACGTATATGTTAGTCGATTTTAATTTTATAAGGAATAATTGATTTGATGGCTTGAGCCGGCGGTATTAAATACGTGTGCCGAATTCTTTAACTATGAGTGAGACCGGGTGATATCACTCAAGTACAAGGCATCATTATCTAACATAAAGAAACTCGTTTCTCATTTTACTATAAAATATATTACAATTAATTGTAACCATTCATAAGATTGAGTATTATATGATAAACAAGCAAGGATGTAGATAAAAAGTGTGCGATGGGCAGATTGTTTAGAGAAGATAGTTATAACGATTACATAATTATTTTTAGGATCTCCATAATTAATTACGTTGTTCCACATAGGTTGTTCACAATTAGGGAATAAGTACTAGGGAATAATAATATTTCAACATCCAGTGATGATTACAATAAGCGCCGATTACCACCCTCGCGCTTGCCGTGCTCGTAGATTTCTGTTGCGTACACCTGACGGTAGATGGCCATATCTGATTCTTGAATATTCACCAAGTCTGACATTGGGTTACCAAACGCCAGCAACTCCAAGAACTTCATTGCGTAAGGCCCGCAATCTCCTGAACTTGGGTTTTGAGCGACGTTCAAATCTCTCTCATAGCCAAAAGGTTCAACTGAGTATGTCTGAGGCAATACATCCGCGCACATCGCTCTCACTAGGTACGGCATCATCTCGCAGACAGGCTTCATCTTTGACCATGCAGCAGACTCCCGCGTGTAATCTATGAAAGCGTCATAGACAATTATATTCCGGGCTCTGAGGTGGATTGCCAAACCAACCCAATGATCACCTCTCCAGTTCATCGGAGCATATACCACGTCGACATCCTTGATCCACCGAAGACTAGGTTCACGGTGTATGTGTATTCCATTGGCAATGTCGTATAACCGTTGGCCCCATTTGAACCCCTGCTTATTTATACAATTGTTGAAGCTGACAGCACGCTTAGTAAGCTCATAAAGCAGGAAGGAGTCCAAAACAACGCATCGGTTTTCTATCATTTGTTGACCGTTCTTGTGCCACATCAACATTGCGAGCATTTCCAAGTGCTGAAATGATGATATCATATACAGTCAGTGTACGTACACAATAGGCATATTTTAAAAATGTACATAAATTGTGTGTACATGCAGGCGAGTGTACATAAATGTACTATTTCAACTTACCATATTATCCACCCAGTTTCCTTGTTTTACAAGCATGGAGAAAAACTCGTTGTCCACTTTGCGATACCCGAAAAGAGTGTGCTTCCTGTAAATCCAATATTATAGTATGAGTTGTTGTTGTAGAAACCCAATTTTTCAATTAAGGGATAATTTTGAAATGCAAGATACTTACACATTCTCTCCGTCGAGGACATTGGTTAAGAGCTCTAATTTGGAAGCATCAACCTTGTCCAGGGGGTTGAAAGGGACATTTCCAGGCGCTATAAGCAGCTCTGAATCTTCAGTTCGTTCTGGAACATCCTCCACGAGGACTGTTGTTTCCTTATAACCTTCAGGAAGGGCTTCATCCATCTCATAAACTAGTTGCTTCTTCACTTTTTTTGGTACAACCGGCGTAGGAATTTTAACTGCTATTGCTTCGAGTGCAGCATCGTTGTTTGGTTCATCCTGTAAAGAAGTGTTATTGTAAACACCATGATTAAACAATTTCAAAATGTAATTGATAATATTTACTGGCAAGATACTCACAATATTTTCAGGTGTACCAACTGTTGTGTCTGCTTCATCTAACCCTGGGTTTGAATCCTCTTGTTCTTCTACCCCGGCGACAATCCCCTGCTCCTCCAACACTCCCTTTTCAAATTAACGTACAGAATTATTTAAATGTACGCATACAATCCAATGTACGTATGTTAATAACTGTGTATAATTTTAAACCAACCACGAGATTTTTACCTCCTTTACATTAGCTGCATCCAAATCCATGGAGGCTGTTGTTTCCAACTCCTGTAACACCTGCATAGTAGAAGATTATAAATTTAAACAAGCCTACACTATTTTATTTAAAAATATAGTTAGCGCACATTCTTAACTACTGCAAATGGTGAAGGGGGATCACTAGGGGTGCCCTGAAGTACTGAGTCATCCACTTTACACTCTGGAACTACTTTGGGTACATCTCCCGCATCAACCTGTAGCAGTAGTTATCAATTTCATCGGATATCTCCTCTATTTAGTTCTGGCTGAAACAATCATTACTTATACGTACACGGGAAATAAGAAAGAGAAATGTACGTACACGAGTGCCGGGTTCCTCGGTGTGTTCAGCCTGAGAAGATGTATCTCTGTCATTATCCTCACCAATTTCTGGTTCCTCCCCAACATTTGCTTCACTCTCAACGCCGGCACCATGTTCTTCTCCCTTTAACAAATATACCATACACGTCTTAAGCTTTATGTGAGTACACATATAGAAACTACATTTGACTATTAGCAGACATATACCTGTCCAGATGTTGCAGGTAAACCAGATGGATTTTCTACCATCTCTGTGTCAGCAGTTGCTTTTCCATCTGTCCCTGACTGTGTACCAACTACGACAGGCTCACCACCATCAATTGGTCCTTTATCCTAAAACATAGTATACCATACACTGCTTAAGCTATATGTACGTGGAGAACTGAAAATAAGTGATACGCGTACACTTATGGAAAACAGTATGTGACTATTAGCACAAGACATACCTGTGCAGAGGTTGAAGGTACAGGAGATGGAATTTCTTCCATCTCTGTGTCAGCACTAGCTTTTTCCTCGGTCCCTGACTGTGTACCAACAAGGACAGACTCACCACCATCACCTGCTCCTTCATCCTGAAACATAGTATACCATACACTTCTGAAGCCTATGTGTACGTACACAACTGAATAATAATTGATAAAAATATTTGTACACGACATACCTGATGGGAAGGTGTAGGTCCACCAACTGAAATGTTAGGTACTCCAGTCTCAACCATATCTTCGTCTCTGTTAGAAAAATCGTGTCCAGCATTTGCAGTAAAACCACCTTCATTGTTGGCTTCAACCTGTACCATAGCAGACAAGTTACAGTTATTAATTTCTCTGTACGTACATATGGAAAAATACTATATATAAATGTACGTACATGCCATACCTGGTCATCTTCCTCAGAGGACGAGTTAACATCAGAAAGCTCAGTAATCTGCACAGCTGACGTCATTATATTATTCAGCCTTGAAGACTTTCTTGTTCCAGACTTGAAGACTTTCTTTGTAGACATCCTTTTAGATGCCTTCTTCACAGTAATCGGTGCCTTAACCACCGATTTAGTTGGGCTGGGTGAAGCATGGGAAGTTTGGGTTGGTTCTGTCTTTTTGCCCTTTGGATCACGGGCAGCACGTATCTCTTGACGGACAAAGTTCTTCAAGTCTTCTTGCATTTGTTTATTTTGTGCTTCCTGCCTCCTGAAACACCTCCTAAGTTCGACTACAAACTTCTCAAACTGGGGATCTTCAGAACAATCCTCAGCAGTTTCCTCATTTTCATCTTCCACAACAGATTTCTGTTTTTTCAAAACAGGTGCATTCGGGCCTCGTACATTTCTTTTCCTCTTCTTCGCATCTACGATAGATCAGTTTAATCATTGATTGGTCTTCAAGGGACAATAATCAGAGAGTATAAAAACAACATTTACACTCACGTATCTCTCCTAGTTGTGGTGGGCGCTCCTGCTTGGGAATGCAGCTGAACCTCCAACCCATTCTTCCTCCTGCCACTCATGACCAGCTAACATCAGTCGCTCAATGTAAGCAACTCTTGGATCCTCAACTTCATCATCCCATGACAGGGATGGAGGGCAAATATTGTCATCTGGTTTCACAAGATAGGTTACCTCAACCTACACGAATAAGTTTGTTAACCACTTAGAGAATGTACACTTACTTTTTAAATAATGTACGTACATAAAAAATTGTACATACCTCTTCAGCAGCCTCACAGGCCAAGATGCTGGATGTCCTGATTGGCCGCAGTGAGGCAAGATGATGGATAGACCTCTGAGTAAATGTCCTGTTCGCTTCGTCATCAGGTGCTAGCTTAGCAAGGGATGGGATTGTTTCAAACGCAAAGAGCTGGAGTGCTAATGGGAATCCTTGTAGTGCATAAGACCCATCCTTTACACACCTTATCAGTTTTTAACATCTGAAGGGGTTTGGAAGTTTGCTATCCTCTCCAAAGTACGGGTAAAAGACAGCCTTCCCCATGGGTATTTCAAGAAGAACTTCACGTTCTTCGTCATCTCGACAGTCGTATCTTGAGGCCTGATGGGGTTTTTACCGCAGGCTATCACACCATCTACCAGGATTATAAGTGATAGAGCCAGTTGCTTCCACCCATCCATGGATTTATCCTCCTTCAGCCAGGCCACCAAATCATGCACTAATGGAGTCGCATTCTCCCCAAACCTGTCCACAAACAGAGCATCCCAGACTTTTTTACACCCAGGTTTAACCTTTAGCACAGCCTCCACTTCTTTCTTCTTGGGATACAGCCCACATTCCAGCCCAGTTACAATACTAAATTCTCTTAGTCCAAATTTGATTGGATGGCCGCCGAAAACCATCCACATCTCATTCACTTTCTTTGTCACTAACTGACGGCATATTAATCCAAGCACAAGCTTACCTGAGAAGGAACACTTGTTAGCAGGTATTCCAAAAAGGTACCCAAATGGAGAGTCGAGAAGCATCTGCATCTCAGCTTTTCCCTTAAGAACTTCCGCTATGTCAGAAATGTACTCCGGTTTGGAGTACGCGTTCATCTTCGTCTTCGAAGGGTACCGGTCTAGAGCAAAGAGTCTTGGTGGTAACTCTTCAACTATAAGATCTTCAGTCGGAGCAACACTTGTACTGCCTGAAATTACAAGTGATATACAATTAAGTAAGAATGTAAACAATACGAATTCGTGTACGTACACAAGAATTATCAACATTATATACTCAAAATCTGAATTTTGGCGGAAACAGAGATTTCCAATTCAACTTCAAACATTTTCAACCTACAGATTTAGCAAAATCCGGCAACTTCTATGCCTTAAATCAAACAAGCTTTAAGATTCCGATACACCCAAAGAAACTACAAACGAAATAATATCAGAACTTACCCAATTCCTCCGGCGGCTTTGTCGGAGGGAGTTTCCTCCTCGGGGATACTCTGAGTTCCCCCTTGTCCTTCTCGGGGCCTTCCTGCGTATGCTTCTTCCTCGAGACTACGTCCTTTGGTTTATTCCCATCCATCGCGAAGGTTGGTATCTCGCCGGAGTTTTCTCAGTTCCTCTTCGCCGGAAAAACTGCAACTTTCTGTTCGCCGGTTTTCGGAGTTCAATGCGATGCCTCAAATCAAGTAGCCAACAATTCGATCGGTGATGTCGAAAAACGAAGATGATGGATGAATGAATTTCGACTTCTCTCTCGAATCTCTCAGTCTCTCACTCGTTCTTCTTCTTCGTTTTGCTTCTAGGTTTCGTGCACAGTTACTTTTTTTTTTTTTTTTAAATTGAAAACGTAAAAAAATTAAAAGAAACGAAACCGATACAGGTAAAACAAACAAAATGCAACTAAACCGAAATTAACTGTGCACGTTTGGTTTTCCCATTAGGGGTATTTTCGTCAGTTTTTGGCTTAACTGCCATTTGGTGATAACGAAATCTCACTTTGCCAAAAGCTGAGACCAAATCTTTTTTTGGCATAAACGTGAAAATTTCTTTATTTTTTTCTCTTGAATTTTTTATGTTTCTCTTTCCATTTTTGTTCTCTATATCTCATCTATAAATAGACACACACCATTCTTCTCCTCCAACTTCCTCCTTTAACTAGTATCAAAAATGGTGAAAACACTTCAAAAGGCAACAAAGAGAATGTCATCTCCATCATCATCATCTTCATCATCCTCATCAACATCATCATCATCCATAAGGATGAAGAAGTACAAGGGAGTGAGAATGAGAAGTTGGGGTTCATGGGTTTCAGAGATCAGAGCACCTAACCAAAAGACAAGGATCTGGCTTGGTTCTTACTCAACCGCTGAAGCCGCGGCTAGAGCCTACGACGCAGCTCTTCTCTGTCTTAAAGGATCCTCAGCTAATAATCTCAACTTCCCAGAGATCTCATCTTCTCTCTACAATATCCTCAACAATGGTGATAACAACAATGACATGTCTCCAAAGTCCATACAGAGAGTAGCTGCTGCTGCTGCTGCTGCCAACACAGATCCTTCTTCATCATCAGTCTCTACTTCATCTCCATTGCTTTCATCTCCATCTGAAGATCTCTATGATGTTGTCTCTATGTCACAGTACGACCAACAAGTCTCCTTGTCTGAATCATCATCATGGTACAATTGCTTTGATGGTGATGATCAGTTCATGTTCGTTAATGGAGTTTCGGCGCCGTATTTGACAACACCACTTTCTGATGATTTCTTTGAGGAAGGAGATATCAGATTATGGAATTTCTGCTGATTATTTACTTTTAATCATACCTTATTCTTTATTTCAATATATATACTTCAGTAATGTAACTCATACAATGTGTTATACATTTATTTTTCTCTCTTTTATTGATTCTCAGAATGTATCGAAATCTTGGGGATCTTTGTACCAATATCTAAATTATTTTTGAAATTAGATATTTTTCATGTTAAAAGTTCATTAAATCTAGAAGTAGTGGTTAAGTATGCATAAAATGAAAATAGCTTTCGAGCAACGAGCTTCGAATGATAACAAGTTAATGTTGAAGACAATCATTTGAGATTTCATAGTATATTTTCACTTAAAGTATGAATGCAAAATTTGGCGTTACTGGCTTTAACACTGTTTAATGTAAATGTGTACATGATACAAACTAAGTGATGGTAAAAATAAATTAAATGGTCTGACTATGGAGTATATTATTAGGTAATAAGTTAAAAAAGAAAGCAGAGTTTTCATGTGAAAAGTTTTACAAAGTCAAAGAGTAAGAAGCAAGTTTCACGAGGCTTGTCATAGAAGGCGATGAGTAACCCTATTTAATTATTGTTGTGAATAGAGTATTAAGTATAAATATTATTTATTTAGAAGAAGATAAGGAATAATTAAGAGAGAAGAGACAAGAGATGCAGAATGGTTTGTGTTGTGACTGGTTAGAATTGGTAAAACCAAAGAGAAACGTGAAAAACTTTGTACGTTATGTGCTTAGATTTTCGTAAAAAAATTGACATTCATTTTACTCCAACATTGGTCTGAAGAAAAATCTAACAGTAGATTTGAGCAGAAAGCCACATGAGTTGTTTTTGGTTTCTTGTTATGTGTGTGTCTTTGTGATATGGGGTCCCATTCACTCTCTTACCCTTACTCCTCACCTTTGTTTGAAAAATCGCTAGGCGTTAGTCGGGCGCTCGGTATGGGCCTAACGATTAATCGGAAAATCGGATTAAAATCGGAGATTAATCGGGGATTACTTTTAAGGTTATTTTAATATTTTTAAAACATATTAATCTAATATTGTTTTCAAAATTGCAGTAAATATATAAATATATATTTTTGAGACAAATTTTTATGATTTTTATTCAAAATTTATCATTTTTATTAAAATTTGAACATAAGTTATTGTAAAACATCACAAACTCCCAATTCAAATTATTGAATAACAAAAATAAAAAGTTTTTTTTATACTTGCAATCTAAAAATAATCGAAATATGTAAGATTAGGCGGGGAGTAATCGGATTAGGCGGGAAGTAATCGGATTAGGCGGAGAGTAATCAGGTAACTGATTTCTTTAGGGGATTAGTCATTAATCGAGGCAGATAGGGTGGACCTAGCGATTAAGTGGGGAGTAATCGGGTGTAGGCGGGGATTTTTAGAACATGGCTCCTCACAAACACTATTTCTATTTTTTTTAGATATGATTTGTTCTTTTTAGAACAGTTTTTACCCTTCAAATAGCAACTATAAGACCATCTCCAATATATTTCCTTAACAATGTACATTAAAACCTATTGGTAATACAAAACGGTATTATTATTTATGCAGATAGAAAAACGGTAAACAATATCCGAATATTTAAAAAGGGTATAATTAGCGATAAGAGAAAATGGTACAAACAAACCGAGAATAACGCTTTTGATAAAATATTTATGGTTGGCAATTATTTTTGGGACCATTTATGTGAAAAGCTTATAACTAAACATGTTTAATCCAAAAAAATATCAAAGGATGTCTATTCTACTGAATTTGTTTTTTCAATACACATGTGAGTCATGGAAAATCAAGTGGTAAAGAGTAACTGTCAGTCAAACACACCTTCAAGATTTTTTTTTAGAAGAGTTTCTTCCCTCAAATAGCAATTGTAGCAATGTCTATAGATTGGTGATACGAAAGCGGTACAAATATTTTAGCTGGTGGAGCAACTAGCGGGTACATTATCGAAATAGTTAAAGAATGGTGAGAATTATCGGTAAAAAAAAACTGTACAAAAAATAACTGAGAGTAATATTTTGTTACCACTTTTGTTATTAATAATTTTTTTTTAGACCATTTATGTGAAAATCTTATAACTAAATAGGTTTAATCCAAAAAAAAAGCAAAGGATGTTTATTCTACTGAATTTTGTTTTTCAATACACATGTGAGTCATGCAAAATCAAGTGGTAAAGAGTAACTGTCAGTCAAACAAACCTTCAAGATTTCCATATGAACGTTTGTATTGCCAGAATAAAACGTTTTTAAGGTATTTTGTTTAGTTATAAACGTGATTATGTTGGCAAAAAACAATGTGATGACAAAGTCATTTCTACAAATTCAATTTTTTTTCTTGTCTCACGTTAAATAAGATATTAATATAGAAGATGACAGTTTTCTTTGTTTGATTATAGAACGTTCAAAAACAGTGAAATGAATGAACTATGTTAAATGCTGAATAATGTGTTTGAATATCTTTCTTTCTTTCTTGTTTTCGTTTTTTGCAAAATCTTTGACCCAATAATTAACAAAAGAAACTGATATATTGGTATATTCAACTAATGTCAATTATTTTTTATTTTAAATCATTGCAATTTGTATATATACAAACAAGTTGTAAATTGACCATACCTATATGTTTCCTTTGCCGTAATTTGAGTTGTCTTCGAGCAAATAAATATCACTGAATAAATTTACTAAAAATACTGTAAGAATTAGAAATTTGGGTCTGAGTTTCTGACATGGGCTTTTGGTTATAGTTGGTCCCATGAAAAGTGCCTCACATTCATTTTTCTTTCACCTTTCACATGAGTCATGACATATTCTCCGGACCGGGACGAGTTTTTTCTTTTCAGGGGATCTCTTAATGATCGCAAAAAACACATAACATGGCATTAGTTTTCTCAATGTTTTATGTCTAAATAATTTTTTAGAGAACCTTCATACAATGATATTTTATAGTTTTGATTCGGAAACGGAAAACCAAACACTTTTTGGTGTTATGTTGATAAGTACAAAAGACAAAGAAACTTGCTGTTGCTAAATCACTAGGCAGTATTTGAAATAGATCAAACATTGGTCGTGAAATCATGAACTCAATTATACGATTATGTTGTCTCATTATAACGAATATTAAATAGTGTAATGTTAATTGATTTATCAATTATACTAAGATTGCGATTTCACGATGGCTAGACAATGCATCTATATGATAATAGTAGTGGCGTCTGGCGTGGTACAAAATATGTATAGATGGACAAGTGGACAGAAAAAATTATGTCTATTTTTTAAAAGAGTATTTTGTGGATCCAATATCCGAATCAGTGGTTGTTATACATACAGAGACTAATGAGCTCTATAAATTCATACACTAATTGATTTAGCCTTCTAAATGCATACAAGAACTTTCAAAATGACCATTATCCACTAATTGATTTAGCTTAGTTTTAGTCTATCTTATTATCCACATAGCAAGAGAAAGCGATCATAAATTGTCTCCCTTTTCTCTTTTTTTTTAGGCCGAACTCTATATATCTCTTTAAACCCGGGTCAACTTTTCATATTTTTATCAGTACTAGTTGTCATTCAATCATGTGACTTCTTAGAATTTTTCAGGGTACATTTCCAGTTGAGCTATCTACCTCTGGTAATTTTACTCTCCCTTTTTATTTCTTATAATTGGGTTTTCGTTTTGTGGAAACTCTATCTCTAGAATGGTTCATGTACAGTCACAATTGTTCTTTTCTTTTCCCATACCATTGGTTGCTGTATTAGGGCTAAGTGTTCTTTAAGAATAGTGTGTTAAGCACACTCCTTAAGCTAGTCTAATTATTCAAGAAAACAACTAAACAAGAAGTCCTAACAAAATCTATTCGAATGAACCATATCCAAATCCACAAGGTCAGTGCCCAAAGTGTTACGACCTGTAAATAAAAACACAACTAACAACAAAAATAAATACAATATAATTAAACATAAACTAACGATTTCCATAATTTACAAAAAAATCAATCATACTTCGTTTTTCAAAAAACATTTTATACATTTTTAACGCTTTATATTTGTATATTATTAAAAAATAAAAATATTTATGAAGATTTTAAAAAGTTTAATTTTAAATAAAAAATTGTTTTTTTGTATGGACTGTAAATTTAGAGTGAATTTGTGCAGAGGTAAAAATGGAGTGTTCGGCTGTAATGAGTTTGTCTTGAACCGCATATAAAATTAGGAAATGGACATAAGGGATATTTGTCCATGCATATTTTGCCAGTTGTTAAAGAAAAACCAATGCATATTTTGTCCATGCGTGTGGGGGAAAAGGGAGAACAATCTAACATTTAATAAATGTTCAACAGTTGAATTGACCTTAACGCGACAACAGACAAAAAGAAGTGATGGTTATTAAATGTGACCAGCTTTAATTTGAATCGATAACAAAAACGTATGGATGGAAATTACAAATTTTAAACCACTAACCTAAACCTTAAACCCTAAACCCTAAACCATAAACCCTATTTAGCACTATATAGTTCGATATATAACTCTATGAAAGTTTATGGATATGTAGCTAAATTTGTAGATAACTATTAATTTTTTAACTAATTGGGACATGTTTACCCAAAAGGAACGTATGAAACTTGTATAGTCCATCTACGCTCCTTAGATCTGCATCTACGTTTTGTAGATCTATATGTTGAGGTCCAAAAATTATAGTAAATCCTTATTTGTATCGTGATTGTCTCTTTTGGAAAATAGATGTACCATCTAATTTTCTGGTAAAGTAGTGTGAATTAGGCCTGGGCATTCGGATTTCGGATCGGATTCGGTTCGGATTTATTCGGATTCGGATAATTCGGGTAGGAGAGTTTATTATCCGTTCGGATTTTATAATTATTCGGATCGGATTCGGTTCGGATAGTGTCGGATTCGGATCGGTTTCGGATTGGTTTTTAAAAAAAAAAAACTAAAAAAATGTTCAATTTAAATAAAAAATAGTTTAATCTTACTAAAATTTGGCTAAGTTTTACAAAAATATGTATAATTTTAACAAATATAACTATAAAATTTCTGATATTTAGGTTATTTAAAATATTTTTTTATTTGTTATAAAATTATAGCTAAATATAACTAATATTTTTGGATATATAATTTTATTTTCGGTTTTCGGATATCCTTTCGGTTTTCGGTTCGGATCGGGTTCGGTTCGGATAATTCGGATAGGAGAATTCATTATCCGTTCGGGTTTTAGGACTACTCAGTTCGGATTCGGAGTCGGATTTTTCGGATCGGTTTTCGGATTTCGGATTTTATGCCCAGGCCTAGTGTGAATAGTAAACACGACGATGTTTTCTGCTTGGTTTTTATGAATTCGAACCGAGTTGAGAGAGAGATGAACATGAGAGAAAAATAGAGATCCAAAAATCAGAAATTAAAAACGAAAAACAAAACTTTAGACTCATAGAGTTAAAATGGATATAAATGTGAGCTAAAATTATCATTGTCTTGTCTGACACTCATAATACAGAAAATTTATGTGTTGGGCCTTTCAGGCTTTTGGAGTTAAGTATAGTTGTGGATTTAAAAGCCCAATGTGTGATTCATTTGTTTTTACTAAGAAAGTTTAAAGATTTTCAATCCAATATCAACAACCATCGGCAAAAATCTGGAAAACCTAAACCTCGTCTTCTCAACAAAATCTGCAGTACCTTGCTCATTTCTCAGTCCAAATTCTTTGATTTTGATTGATTCGATTCAATGGGTTTCTCCAAAGATCAGTTGCTTGATCGACTTCAGGTTTCCATCTTCATCTTTAAACTTAATTTCATCATCTTGATTTCGCATTGCTTTTGTTTGAATTCGTGAGATAAGATTAGATAAATCATTAGATGAGAACTGAAAATTTTAGATTACTGCTTTTAGATTCTGATTCTTTTGTCAAGAATCTTGCTGTTACACGTTTTGTTAGTGCCAATGTTAAAAAACGTGGCAATGTGAATTGATAATTGAGTATTTTGTATGTATCTTTCAGGAACTTCAGATTGATTATTCCAAGTATGAACATCCACCTGTTTTAACCGTCGAAGAACAGGTGAAAATACCCGAAAAAAGTTTTCGATTTGTAAACATAAGTTATAGGATGTTGAAAAAGATGGGTTTATAAGGCTTTGTTTTGTCTATTTAACTCTTCAGGCCAAGTATGTAAGCAGTAGTGAGGGGGCATTGAGTAAGAATCTCTTCCTGAAGGTAATCTTCAAAGTGATACACCATTAAGTTAACCGCATTATCAAGTTATTTCCACCAGAATTGACTATTAACTGGTTGTAGATGGCGCATATGCTTCTGTTTTGTTTTTGCAGGACAAGAAACATCGGTATTATATCGTTTCAGCAATGGTGGATACGAAAGTTGACATGAAAGGTAACACATGTTTTCTCCTTTTTCGTTTGTGGATATTGGCATAGAAGAAGTCACTGGGTTTGTGAAGTCGAAATGGTTTTTTTTTGGATGTTAATGGGCGTTACCTGTGACTTCTAATTTAAACAGTTTTATCTCAGAGACTTGGTCTGGGAAAAGGAGGAATTAGAATGGCTCCTGAAGAAGCACTTGGTGAGCTTTTGCAGGTATTGTTCATCGTCTCTCTCTTACTCTGCTACTGTTTTGTTATATATATCTGGAAAGAGTTTTAATAAATGATTGTGCTGTAACAATTGAACCATGGTAGTGGTTGTTTTCTTGAAAAAATGACAAGAACAGTTTCTTTAGACCGAATTGCTTAAAATGATCTATTTGTGCATGGTGATAAATTTGTTTTGCTTATCGTAGTTTACAACAAATCCACATGAATTTATTTAACTTAGTGTCATTCATGTTTACAATTTTTGACACTCGTTTTACTTTCTTTGTCTTCAAAGGTATCCCTCGGATGTGTTACCCCGTTTGCAGTTGTAAATGAATCAGCAAGGTATTGTTTGCCTGAACATTGGTTCATATGTGTTTTCCCTTCCAAATTTCTAATTATTTCCGTTGACTGACATTCGTTCTAAATTTTCCTTGTTAAAGAGATGTGTCGCTCTTGTTAGACCAAAAATTCAAGAACCAATCACGCTGCATCTTCCACCCATTGTCTAACGACGTCTCAGTCTGTAAGTTCTTGATTACAGACTTTTCTTTTAAGGTTCAAGTCCAAGCCAACCCGAAATAGTTATAACATATAACATACCAGCTTGAGAAACACAGTTACCAATAGATCTTAGCGTATATACTAATTTGGTTGGTCCCTTTTATTTCCAGCTCTTAACACGTTGGGTCTGGACAAGTTTCTGAAGTCGATTGGGAGAGATCCCGTATACGTTGACCTTGAGGCAAATACTCTAAACCTTTAACTTGAGACCTCATGTTCCACAGTTTCTTTCTTCAAGGTTAACCTTTTGAACTATGGATTTACTGTTTCAGGCTAACCCGGTAGTTGGTAAAGACCAGGCTCCAGATCTAGCTGTTTATGTTCCGTCTAATTCAGTTGTTGTTCCCGAGGTTTCTAATAAAACATCTACTATACAAAACCCTCCTCCAAAAAGTGTGTCAGCAGAGGTTAAGCCTGTCGCTTCAGGTATGCCTGAATTTAACCATTCGCTCCAATATTTGCTAAACTGTTAAGGATTGGTTTATATAACTCGGTTTTCTCCAACGGTGCAGCCAAACCGAGCAAGCCAGCCGGTAAGGTGAAGAGCGTCGCGGAAAATTCAGTCCCATTAGCTTACAAGAACCCCGAGAAATTTGTGGAGGAGATTATGGACAAAACATCAGCTCTATTATTGTCCGAGGTAATAAACTCATCTCAATATTGGAATCGATTTCGCAATAGTTTGAGATCAAATCTGAACCGGTTTTACATACAGGCGAAGGGAGAGAGTGTGGAGGCTTTGGCAGAAACACTGAGAAAACGACTTACCTCAGATTTAACCCACCTCGCTGTGAGTACACTTAGATATACATGGTTGAAATCGGTTTAAGCTAAACCGTTTGTACCAATGTTGGTTTTGTGTAAATTGATTGCAGATTATGTACAAGAACACTGCCTACGCAGAAGGTTTTTATGCCGGTACACACCACCAGCCGAAGCGATTGTAAGAGGTTTGGTTTACATGTTGAACCGGAGATACTTTGGAGAGAAACATACCGGTTAAGCATTATATTTTTCCTTCCTTGGAAAACAATTTTAGATAAACCGAACATGATTACATTTACATGAAAGCTCGAAACATTATTGACTTATTGTTGCTTTGTTTCTTCAATCAAAGATAAACCTTTTCTTTTCTATATCCGAAAACTGAATTTGAATTCGAACAAAACTATTTCAAAAAAAAAAAAAACGATATAAACTATAAAGCCTAGATTTTCTGAAAATAAAAGATATATTCGGATATTTCATAAACTAACTTAAAATAAAGTTAATAAAATTCTTATTTTTTCTATAGTAAAAAGGATATTACATAAACTTATGTGGTTGATTTACGAGATGTTAGAAACAAAAATCATATTTGGTAAATTTTTAATTATTTTTTTTTAATGAGATTGTAGATATTAATCGATAAATACGGGATTTTTAACAACAAATTAGTCATTATTTTATACTAAAGAAATAAATAAATAAATTTCACTAGAGACATGCAAAAATGCAAATTTATGTTATTCGTCTCTTATAAGTAAAAACTAAAACCCTAATCATTCGTCGCTAGAATCACCGATCGATGTCACTCGTCCGTTGTTTATCCCTCAGATCGGTGCTTAATCCTCAACGTCACCGATCCTCTTATTCCTTTCTCATCCATCTTCAGCCTCCTCGTGAAGAAGAAGAAGTTACACGCAAAACACCATCAATTCGAAGTTACCACAGTATCATTCACCAGAATTCGTTAATCGGTGCCTCGACGGCTTTCTCTCGCAACCGCTCTGTTTTCCAATCTCCATCGTCCGTTCTATCGGATCGATTCATTTCGACCTTCAATTTCCATGGTTCCGGTGACGCCGTCATCAATTGGTTGTTGCAATCTGTGGTTTCTAGGGGTTATGAGTTAGACAATGTTGCTGATGTTCTTGTTTCTCTTAATCACTTGCTTGCATTGTTGAATTCTTTCACATTTTCTCAATGGTAAGATTTCACAATGTTACTTAAGATTTTTATAAGAATCTTGTGGTTATATAACAATCTTGGTTTATTATGTTTGAATGTTATAGGTGGGTGTTTATCATCGTAACATCGCTTTTGATTCGGGGAATTACAATTCCGGTTATGGTTGATATGCTTAACAACATTGCAAAGTTCTTTAAGGTAAAGTTCCTTGTATATGTAATGCTTCAAAGAGATGGATAGAGAAAACTTTTGGTTTGTGTATATTAGTAATGCTTGTTCTGTTGATGGAAGTTATTAGCTATATGTTAGGTTGTAATCATTATAACTATTTGGAGAATTGAATTCTTTCTATGAGAAATTTATTTAGTGAATCTCTCGTTGTACAGAGTCTTCGCTCGCACCAAGGGGAGGTTCTAGACAAGGTAAATCGAAACTTTGCTACGCGTTTTTTGAACATTTTGTGGTGAGAATTGCAATTTGACTTGAGTTAATACTTTTGAGCTTCCATGAACTCAACATTAGCTTGGCTTTTGTGTCATTTAGGTATCAATACTCAGTAAAAGTCGAGGAGTAATGTACACCATGTTGGAGAAAGAGTAAGCATTTCGTTTTTAGGACTCAAAAGCTTAAGAAGTCGATCTTTCGTTGAGGATATTTAGTTGTTGTCATTGTTGTATGATACAGGTTTTTTGGAGTTAAAGGATCAGTCATTGGTCAGGGGATTCAAGTACCTATCTTCTGGTTCTCAATGGGAGAGTTAAGACAAAACATGGTTGAGATTCTTATGTCACGTCTTCGGGGTAAGATGTTGTCAGCGGAATTGATCAAGAACGGAGTCTTAAGTAGAGGACGCTTAGTGGTGGTCGTTGGCGATGGATTCGGTCTTGAATTCCAAATGTTCGATCTTGATTTCTCTCTTATCTTGAGGCGTCGTCAAGTCTCACAAAGCTACGTTTAATAAGTTTCGATTTCATTCAATAATTGGAGTGGTTTGCTTTTAGTGGCTCAATGGTGTTTATTTGATGATAGAGCCAGCACAAAATGTGAATAAAGCGTGTTTGGTTGGATTCTAAAATACTATTACTTTTTTTTTCTTATTATTTGTTTATCGAACAATAACAAATAAGTTTCAACTTCTTAATTTATGTTAACCATTTGCACACATGGAAGGTCACCATAAATATATGATTGAATTTAATGATTTATTTAAATTACCAAACAATAAATATATGATTCAATTTCAGCAATCAATTACAACTTATACCCAAACTGATGGAAGCCCAGATAATAAATGGGTCGTTCATAGGCTCAATAATACATAAAACAGGCCCAATTACATGCTAATGTGGCGCTAATATTACTCGCCTTATGGACGTGACAAACTATATAAGTCAGTGTATTGTGTGCCCTAATTTCGTCGCCAGAACCAGAGAGAAAGATAAAATGGCAGGAGAAGATTTCGAGAACAATCAGCCTTCAGTGATAAATATTGATGATGAGGAAGAAGGAGAAGATCTCTTCATGGATAATTTTATGGAAGATTATATTCAAATAAATGGGCATGATCAGTATGATCACTTAGATCAGATTATACATGACCGTTTTTTTTTTTTTTGATAACCCAGTGTCCAGACCACACTGTGATCCGACGACTAGCCCACTGGGCCTAAGCCCGCGTTCCTTGGATTTTTAAGCCTCCACTTAAGGGCCCCTCGGATCTGGTGGTCTGGGACGCTGCGCCCCGTAGGTAAATTGCGCAGTGGCCGGGACTCGAAGCCGGGTGGCGGGTGCCTCAGCCGAGGTTCCTATACCACCAGGAGACAAGCACCCGGTTACATGACCGTTTTTTGGTTGATGCTATACTCGGTGCTCGCGAAACTCGCAACCACAATAACGATAACTTCATCGATGTAGACGCGGCTGGGGAAGTAGAAGATCTTCAAATTATTAGGGATGAGCCTGAGGAGGAGGAGGAAGGAGAAGATCTATTCAACGAGAATTTCTTAGAAGATTATCGGCATATGAATGGGCATGAATGATGAGTATAGTTTAGTTGATGATGAAAGTGATTTAGATCAGATTATGAAAAGTTTGTTGTTATTTTATTTTATTTTTTTCGATAAGGTTGAATTATCATAAGTTTGTTTATGATTCCAATAAATCAACATTAATATATCAAATTCAGTTTTGAAGTAGTGGATGTGTAAACAACCCGAATTTGTTTTATTTTTTTCTGTGATGCCGTTCCACATTGATAAAGGTCACATCTCAAAATTTGTTATGGAGAATTACAAAACTTCGCCAGAATCTGATATTTTTAACAGAAGAATTGTATATATGCTTTTGAAGTCGTTAAATATCCATCTCACTCACACTCAATGTCATACTACAAAACTCGAGTACGCCATGATGGTGAAAGAGAGTTTTATGGTTTTTTTTTCATTGCTCCTCCTTCACCATATGGATTTTCATGTCTTCTAATCACTTGACGTTACTCCAATCAAATGACTTGCAAAACTTGGCTGTCGTCTATGTCTCAAATTGAGTGGCAGAATTGGTTCGTATCAGTTGGCGTCTCGCCATTGGCTTCAGCAGCAAACCTTCAGCTTTCTTACCTCCAATTAGTCTTCTTCTCCAACTACTTTCACTCACTTCCCCACACACCATTGTTCGCCGCCCTAAACTCTTCTCTAACTCCTAAACCTCATATCAAACCCATTCTCTAATTGTATCACTCCTCATTTCTTTTTCTTAAGTCCTTGTAGATTTTCACGCTGATACAACTTGTTTCATAGGGAGTTTCATACTTTGCTGCTACAAATGCAAACAACTTTTGTGATAGCTGATGCCAAAGAACCAAACAAAAAAAAAAGAAAACATATTCGAAAGATTTCATCATAAATAAATAAAAACATGGACTTTTGTATTTTAAGTTAAAAATGCTAAAGTTCGAAGCGAAATAGAAAATAGATTGGCTATTTGTTAAGTGTAAGCTTACCTATAAAACCCATAAACGCTCGAATAACATAAAACCAAGAATACATTTATAAGCTACTACCAAGTCTAGATTTTATAATCTACGTCAAAAATTAGAGTTCAACATGCTATCAAGACACATATATACAAGAAAACACAGTGAAATAATCCTACTAAATTTCCTACGAAAAAGTGGTTGAATAGATTTCCTATCGGATACCTACGAGTTTTTCAAGTACTAAAAAAATTTATATTCTTGAATTAACAAATAGGGCAATGGACAAAGAGAAATTTAATTCCAACGTGATGCTCAAGAGGGAGTATATGGCCGGATCGGACTCACCAATCGAACTCATGAACTGCGCAATGAAGCAAGACATATGCTTGAAAAAAGGTATGATATTTTGTCTCTGTCCATCTTGTGATAATAATAAATTTCTGGCCAAGACGTTAGTGTGGTCACACTCATATAAAGATGTAATTATGCCGAGTTACAAAGTCTGGTATTATCACGAGAAAAATGATGCATACCAAGTAGATAGTATTGGTGGAAACATGTAAGAGAGAGTAAAAGAATGTAGGTTAGCAGAAGAAAATGTATGTCCGGTTCAAATGGTTCACACGATGCATATTTTCCCTATATTCACTACATATTTTCTATGTATTCGGTTAGATTATATCTATGTTACAATTTACATCCATAGAGCTACGATTGATAAGTATTTGATATTTGATTATTTTGCTTTTGGAATAACTAAGTTATATCAAGTGTAAATATAACTAATATTTTGAGTATATAATTATATCTCGGGTACCTATTTGGTATTCGGTTCGGATTCAGATTCAGTTCCGGTACATTGGATATAGGAGTCTGGGATCCGTTAGAGTATTTTATCGGTTTCGGGAATCAGTTTGGTTCTCACTTTTTCTGAATCGGTTCCGATTAGGGTTTTTGTTTCCATTTTTTTTTTGTCCAGGTCTAATGAATGCTTTTGAATTAGTCTCAATATTATGTTTTCAGTTTGTTAGAATATGGGTGCTTTTGAATTGGTATAAGTACTCAGTTTTCAGTTTACATGGAATAAGATTCTGGTATTATATATATAAACATGCATACAGTAACAGGGGAATTTTAAGAAAGTGAGTTATAATCATGATTTGAAACATTTACTGTATAAAAGAAAGGGATCAAACTACAAATAAAAATCAAAACCAAAAAAAATTAACATATGCGACCAGACTCATTAGCTTTATAACAAACAAAAAAGGTTATACCATTCTATAGCTATTTAAGACAGAAAATTTTGTCACTGATCAATACCAATTATAGTTACTAACAACAAATAGTCACTACAAAGTCACAAACTTTCTCTCGTAGAATAGTACAAAATTAGTACCAATATTTGTGACTATATTAGTCATAATATTGTCACAATTGCTACGTTTACAATTGTGGTTACAATTTCGTCACTAATTGCGACGATATTCGGTCGTGGTTAATTATTTTTGTCACAACATTGTGACAAACCTATTACGAATTTGTGACTGATTTAAATGGTCATAAAATCATAACAAAAATGTCACAGATTTATGATAAATACTTTTCGTCATAATAACTAATTTTGACATAATAACTGTTGAAAAATCAAACTAATTTTGACAAAATTTGTTAAGTGTAAAAGACTAAAGATACATTCATTTTATTTAACAAAATACCTTCATCTTATTTAAGTTTTAATTAAAAATTACTTTTTAAAAGTTTATATTGATCTTTTGTATTATGCGATTTGTTTTCTTACTGTTTGAATAATTTTAGTTAGATGAGAACTGATGATGTAAATTAAAAAAAAAACAAAAAATTAAATAATTTATTAATCTTTGTGTTAAAATCTTAAACATGAGGTCTGCATTGGTTACTCTCAAAGAAATGATCCAGAGGGCTGCGGATAAAAATTCTCGAGAAATTGCTGAGGTCTTTTTTCAAGCCTTGCATGCTAATTCCCTTTAGACAGTTGCTTGTGGAATGAGAATTCAAAAGCGCATTATGTTCTTTATTAGTAACACGAATTAAAGAGAAATAAGGAGAGATGTCGTTATATTGCAGTACGGAGGAGAACGCAGTTTTCATCTCTAAGCTTTCTATAGTGCAACCTAATTTCTTGTGAATTTTTTTTTACCGAAAGAAAAACAATTAGTTGTTATCCAAGGCCAATTTATGGTATTGTTGATTATATTTTGTTATCTTTTTGTTAAAAAAAAAAACAAACAAAAAAAATAAGAACCTTAAACATCACTTATATAGCTATATTGAAAAAACTAAAAAGTATGGCCTCCTAAGTTATTAAAGCCATGTAGATGCATTTTAACAAAAAGTTAAATAATTTACAAAAAGCTAAATATTGATTTCTTAAAAAAGTCACTACAAAAGTAGAATATTTTTAGTTATAAAAGTGTTTATCTCATTACAATCCAAATCAATTTTCCACACAAAAGTAATGATTAAATGTTTGATTCATTCAATTTATAACTTAACAAAAGAAAACTTAAAAGAGCTTAAGCGGGCTACCCGTTTAGTAAATGGGTCTAAACGGTTCAAGTTGTCTAATATTTTTTTATAATATATGTTTTTAAATGGGGAGTATCCAAACGTCTTAGTGAAATGCCGTTTAGGCATATGGACTTCGAGCCATTTTAACATCACTACAAACATTATTCAACCAATAAAAAACTGTAAAATACAAATAATTATAAAACATAATTAATAAATTAATTTTACATTTCACTTTAATCAAATAATTTTTTTGGCTCAACATTAAGAAAAGCTAGAGAAAATGGTTAAGTTCTAATCAACATAAAGATAAAAGCTCAAAGATGATAAGCGCTAACATAATCTCTGGTTCAATACCATTGCACATTAATGGTTGGTGGTGCCCTAAAGAAGAAGCTAAAGAAAATAATACTAAAACTCATAACTAGGTGACAAAATGGATGTGAGGAGACTGAATTTCAAATGAATAAGTAACTAGAGGATATGAGCAAATCTCACTCAAGTCTTTAACCAAATTTTTTTTAAAAACAACCCTGTTTTTGAGTTATACTTTGAAAAATACCCTTTTTCTATTTTTAATATAAACTATGATAAAATGACAATTTTGTATTAATTTAAATTATGTAAAATGATTTGTATTAATTTAAATTTAAAGCTATATTTGTAGTAAATAAAAACTAAATTCGAAATAATATTAATTACAGTTATATAAAATTTTTAACACAAAGATGATTTATTAATTTTATATATTAAAATTTAACAGATACTGTCTAAAAATATTATAAAGTCTATTGCTTAATATTTGTCGTGTTATATAAAATAAAATAATCTCCAACACTTCAAGCACATTTTTCAACTCAACATATCACCAAACTTTGCTTCAATTTAATGATTCTTTTTGAATTTTTTTACAAAGTATATGTGTTTTCAAAAATAATGAATCATCAAAATCTGCACTATAACAACAACATATGACTTAACAAAAATCATGACTTAACATCTAGAATGTTGTTATTCATTATTCTTTTAAGAAAGTATTTAGGATAATAAATTTTTGAAATTGTTAGTTATAGAAAAACTTTGTAAAAATTAAATATTTAATTGTTACCAATAAATGATTTGATATTTTGATTAATTTTTATTAAGTTTATTTTATTAATTTTACATATTTAAAAATAGTTTTTAAAAGAAAAATAAAGAAAGGGTATTTTTCAAATGTGCTAACAAAAAGAGGGTATTTTTAAAAATTTAAATCTCACTCAAATTTTTTTAAAAAAGTAAAATAAATATTAATTTTGTGCTTCTAGATAAAATACGTTTGGAAAAGACAAAACAAAAACTATTTCGGTATTTCCCTTCATTTGGTTAAATTTTATTAATTTAGCATTTCATATTGACCGAAAAATAAATTAATTTGACATGTAAAACATGAATTTAATTTCGTAATGTCAAACTAAAATTAAATTTCGTAGCTTTCAGAAATTCTGTATATATATTTTAGGGTTAAACATGAATAAAATTTGATAAAAATATATCTATGGGCCACAAAACTAATACTACTTGGGCCGAATTAATGAAAGCCCATACGATGCATATGCCAAATTGGCGCCAATATTTCCCGCCTAATCGACGAGAAAACCCAATAAACGAGTGTATTGTGCCCTGATTCCGTCGCCGGCAACAATACAGTGAGAGAGAGATAGAGAAATGGCGGGAGAAAATTCCGATAATGAGCCGTCGTCACCAACTTCACCTTCTTCCGCTGGATTCAACACAGATCAGTTACCAATCAGTACAAGCCAAAACTCCGAGAATTTCTCCGATGAAGAAGCCGCCGTAGATACCCAAATCATTAGAGATGAACCTGAGGAAGCGGATGAGGAAGAAGAAGAAGACGGAGAAGATCTCTTCCCAGAGAATTTCATGGACGATTATCGGAAGATGGATGAGAATGATCAGTATGAGTCTAATGGATTAGATGATTCCGTTGATGATGAAAGAGATTTAGGTCAGGTTATGCTTGACCGTCGTGCTGCTGATGCTGTACTCGATGCTCGAGAGACTCGAGCCGCGAATCGCAAGCTTCCTCATCTTCTTCATGATAACGGTAATTATTAAACCCCTAATTGGAATTTGATGAAATTGGAAACCCTAAATGTTCACTGATTTTGACGAATTTAGATTTAGGTATGTAATTTGAGTAGGGTTCTTTTGTCTACAGATTCAGATGATTGGAACTATAGACCTTCGAAGAGGTCTCGAACTACAGTTCCACCGAGAGGTAATGGTGGTGATCCTGATGGGAATCCTCCAAGTTCGCCAGGAGGGTCACAGCCAGATATCTCAATGACTGATCAGACAGATGATTATCAAGATGAGGTATGAATGTGGATCTTTTTACTTCATGGTGCTAGGTGTATGGACTACTAGTGCTAATGGTTGGTAAATATCTGAATATAGGATGATAATGAAGATGAAGCAGAGTTTGAGATGTATAGGATTCAAGGAACTTTGAGGGAATGGGTTATGAGAGATGAAGTGAGACGTTTTATCGCGAGGAAGTTCAAAGACTTTCTGCTTACGTATGTGAAACCGAAGAATGAGAATGGAGATATTGAATATGTTCGTTTAATAAACGAAATGGTTTCAGGTACTGTTTATAGCTACAGAAGTTCTTTGTAAATTTGGAAGCATTAGTTAGTTATCTGAACTGTTTTATGTTTCATCTGTGTATGGCTTATTTTGCAGCTAATAAGTGTAGTTTGGAGATTGATTATAAAGAATTCATACATGTTCACCCGAATATTGCTATCTGGCTGGCCGATGCTCCACAACCTGTTCTTGAAGTCATGGAGGAAGTTTCTGAAAAGGTCATCTTTGATCTGCATCCAAATTACAAGAATATTCACACGAAGATATATGTTCGTGTTACCAATCTACCGGTTAATGATCAGATTCGGAACATAAGGTAATAATTTGGCTGAATTCATGGATAGTGACTGACTTTGTATTCCTTTTCAAGATTTCAACCTAACCTTATTGTTTCTGACTTATCAGGCAGATTCATCTTAACACCATGATCCGTATTGGTGGAGTTGTCACTAGGCGTTCTGGGGTCTTTCCTCAGCTGCAGCAAGTGAAATATGATTGTAACAAGTGTGGAGCAATTTTGGGGCCTTTCTTCCAAAATTCTTATTCAGAAGTCAAGGTCGGTTCTTGTTCTGAGTGCCAGTCGAAAGGACCGTTTACTGTTAATGTCGAACAGGTAAGATTCTATGTTCTCTCTATCATTTTCTTTTTTAAGTGAATGGACTTCAAATTTAAGCTATAGATTGAAATGAGAAACTGATCACACTGTTAAATACTATCTTTCAGACCATATACAGGAACTATCAGAAGCTTACAATCCAAGAGAGTCCAGGAACAGTGCCTGCTGGACGACTTCCAAGACACAAGGAAGTTATCCTGTTGAATGACCTTATTGATTGCGCTCGTCCTGGAGAAGAAATTGTAGGTTCATCATACATTACTCTTCTATAATACTTGCACATCTATTACGATAGATGACTGATTTTATCTTGGATGGATGTCTTGCAGGAGGTTACTGGCATATATACCAACAATTTTGACCTATCTTTGAACACAAAGAATGGGTTTCCTGTCTTTGCCACTGTGGTGGAAGCTAACTATGTTACAAAGAAGCAAGACCTTTTCTCTGCATACAAGCTAACTCAGGAAGACAAGACACAAATCGAAGAGCTATCCAAGGACCCACGTATAGTTGAACGTGTAAGTTGGATATAAATCCTCCTCATCAATCCTTTGAATTGCTTCAAGTTCATCCCCGTTAACATTATTTCGATTTCTCTTTCAGATCATTAAGTCAATTGCTCCATCAATATATGGCCACGAAGATATCAAAACAGCTCTTGCTCTTGCTATGTTTGGAGGTCAAGAGAAAAACATTAAAGGGAAACACAGATTGCGTGGAGATATTAATGTACTTCTACTAGGTGATCCAGGAACAGCAAAATCACAATTTCTGAAGTAAGAAAACCATCTTGGCCAGCTGACTTCATTAATTCCTGTGGTGATTATTTTCATTAACTGCATAAATGTTTCTTCTAGGTATGTTGAAAAAACTGGTCAAAGAGCTGTGTACACGACTGGAAAGGGAGCTTCTGCTGTTGGTCTAACTGCAGCAGTACACAAGGATCCAGTTACAAGGGAGTGGACGCTTGAAGGAGGGGCTCTTGTACTTGCTGACCGAGGAATTTGTCTTATCGATGAGTTTGACAAGATGAATGACCAGGACAGGTAACAAAATGCAACTAATGATAATTATTTTTCTGAAGAAAATGGTGCTGACGATATAAGTTTTGTAACCAGGGTGAGTATCCATGAAGCCATGGAACAACAGAGTATTAGTATATCGAAGGCAGGAATAGTTACTTCTCTTCAAGCTCGTTGCTCTGTAATTGCCGCAGCTAATCCAGTTGGTGGAAGGTAAGGGAGTAACTAATGCTCCAATTCACTGACCTACAATTTGTAATTTTGATCTTGCTAATTTGTTTGTGACATTGCAATTTCAGGTACGATTCATCGAAATCATTTGCACAAAATGTCGAGTTGACAGATCCAATCCTTTCTCGTTTTGATATCTTGTGTGTTGTCAAGGTATTTTTTCAAACCTCTGCTCTTGTTCTTGAGATCATATTATTGATTGTGTTAATTTTTTGGTTATTGACATGACTTAAACCAATGATATGGCTGCAGGATGTGGTTGACCCAGTTACAGATGAAATGCTTGCTGAATTTGTTGTCAATAGCCACTTCAAGTCACAACCCAAAGGTGGTAAGATGGAAGATAGCGAGCCTGAAGATGGCATTCAGGGATCTAGCGGTTCTACTGATCCCGAGGTTTGTGATTTTCTAGTGTAGCTGCTTCTTTGAAGTTTCCATGTTTTCAGGTCTTGATCGAAATATTATTTTATGTACAGGTTCTTCCCCAGAACCTGCTGAAGAAATACTTAACATACTCGAAGTTGTATGTATTCCCAAAACTGGGTGAACTAGATGCCAAGAAGTTAGAGACTGTTTACGCTAATCTAAGACGAGAATCAATGGTAGGTTTCAGTTCTTGATTTATATTGGACTGCTGTATTACTGTCTTTCTCAATTATTATATTACAATATCCTGACTTGCTTAATCCATTGTTCAGAACGGACAAGGAGTTTCTATCGCGACAAGACACCTCGAGTCTATGATCCGAATGTCTGAAGCACATGCTAGGATGCATCTTAGGCAGTATGTAACAGAGGAGGATGTTAATATGGCCATTCGAGTCCTCCTTGACTCTTTCATATCGACCCAGAAATTTGGAGTCCAGAGAACTCTAAGAGAGGTATTAAAGAACTTTCCATTCAGTTGTTTGGTGAGCTTTTATCTACGGAATTCTGATGTCTGAATTGATGAAAACTTGGTTATTCCTGTGCAGAGTTTCAAACGATACATTACCTATAAAAAGGACTTCAACTCATTGCTGCTCGTTCTTCTCAAAGAGCTCGTTAAGAATGCCTTGAAGTTTGAAGAAATCATTTCGGGATCAAACTCAGGACTACCTACGATCGAGGTTAAGATAGAGGAACTGCAGACAAAGGTAAGTTGTCATATGATTAGTCTAAAGTTAGAAGTATCCTTCTTAAAACTCTTTTCACAACTCTTATGTCCTACATTTGCAGGCCAAGGAATACGACATCGCAGATCTACGGCCATTCTTTTCAAGCACAGATTTTTCCAAAGCTCATTTTGAGTTGGACCATGTTCGAGGAATGATCAGGTGTCCAAAAAGGCTGATCACTTGGTAAACAAGAAGGCGTGCTTTTAAGTCACTATCAACTTAGGTTTATTTATTATCGCATGAAAAAAATGTTGGATATTTAGGAAGATAGTTCGTTTTGTACTAAGATTATGAGATGCTCAAAGATTTGCTGTTCCCATTTTGCAATACCCATCTTAATACATTAACGCTGCTTTCCCTTTCCTCAAAAGAATCGTTTCAAGATAATGAGAATATTTGTTTATCATTTTATTGTTGATCTGGCTTTATTCATGACCATTGTACCAAGTACTTTTTTTTTTTTTTTTTTTTTTTTTTTTTTTTTGTGAACACCATTGTACCAAGTACTAACATTTGAAAGTTGATGACCCAAAAAAAAGGGCAAGTCCATATGTAAAATTTGGATACATCAGAACTACATGCCGTTTTTATTTTGACAATGTGAACTTCGTGTTGTTTTAAATAGCCAAGACACATCTGTCGACCCTACTGACTCGTGTGTGTTCGTCGAGAATTATTTGTTTTTGCAATTCGTCGGAGTTTGGCTCGTTAAAGTTCGATTAGGTTTCAGAAACTTAGTGAAACCTCCGTTTGGTGAGACTTCGTCGTCGTCCTCGATACTCTCTGATTCCTCATCGGACTTGGTTTGTGCTTTTCGTCTTTAGTGCTCTACTAGTTAGGGTTTTGCCATCCTCTGCTCGCAGAGTTTGAATTTTTTTTTTTTAAAACGCGAATTGAGCTCGACGTTGAAATGTTTAGCTCCTCAGATTAAGCCGCGAATTTGAGAGGAAGCTTTATTTTGTGTGAAGATGGCGAATAATCCTCCGCAGTCTTCTGGTGCCCAGGTTCGATAATGCAAATTATAAGTTCGTTTCATGCTTCCATGGAACTCAAGTCACTCAATTGATATGTTCAAACGTATTAGGGTTCTTTGATCTTAGTCTCTTTCATTGTTCAATAGCTTTTAGCTTTAATATTCACTCAATTGATAAGCTCTCGTTTCTTACTATCACAATCAAACATTCAATAGTTGTCAGATTCTAAGCAATTTGATGTCGCTGCTATTTGGTGAAAGTTCTGTTTTAGTGTATGATTTATAGGAATAGTTAGTTTAGTTAGTCTCTCCCTCTACTTTAGTTTTCCACTAGTTTGTGATCTACTGGATGTGCTTATGAGACCTTTTTCCAGCAGTTTCGGCCGATGGCTCCTGGGCAGCAGGGTCAGCATTTTGTTCCTGCAGCTTCACAACCTTTTCACCCTTATGGACATGTACCTCCAAATGTTCAAAGTCAGCCTCCACAGTATTCTCAGCCGATACAGCAGCAGCAGCTCTTTCCAGTGAGACCAGGTCAGCCTGTGCATATTACATCATCCTCACAGGCTGTATCAGTTCCGTATATTCAAACGAACAAGATTCTCACTTCTGGATCTACTCAACCACAGCCAAATGCACCTCAAATGACGGGCTTTGCTACATCTGGACCTCCATTTTCTTCTCCATATACTGTGAGGCTTCTGCTTTTCTTATATATTTTTTTTTGAATGACCTTTATATATGATTCGTTTTCACTTTGCTGTATTTTTGTTTCTGCAGTTTGTACCATCATCTTATCCTCAGCAACAACCAACATCCTTGGTCCAACCAAATTCTCAGATGCATGTAGCCGGCGTCCCTCCAGCAGCAAACACTTGGCCTGTTCCTGTAAATCAAAGTACCTCACTTGTTTCTCCTGTGCAGCAGACTGGGCAACAAACACCAGTCGCAGTTTCCACAGACCCAGTAAGTGATTACGATTACTGATCACAAATATGTTTTGGTGACTTGTATTGATGCCTATATCTACTATTAATCATGAAACCATCTCTTACTAAAATGCGAATCATATCATGTTGAGTTGTATTATCATATAAATTGTGAAAACCCACATATGTCTTCTGTCATGTATAGCATTTCAATCTTTTTCTCTGTATTATTTTGGGATAGTATTTTTATCTGAATCGAGTGTTCCTCTGCTTATTAGCAAAGTTTAGTATATAGACTCCGACTTATTTAGACTTAGTAATTTCATGCACTTCCTCTGGATCTTTACTTAGGTCAAACTCTGATTAGGTTTGAAAACGTAAGGTTTTGTTCTAGAGAACCGTAAAACTCTTTGAAGCCTCAAGAAGTCCCTAGCAAACCACAAAGTACTTGATACCTCTACACATCAGAACCTTGTCCTATTTATACTCAATTACTAACTAGCTGATGTGGCATAGTTGATGAACTCTTATCAAACTCATTGTCTAGTCTTTATGTATGCACTCTTATGCAATTGTAGCTAAATGTGCTTGTTGGATTTTGATAACAGGGAAACTTGACTCCGCAATCTGCATCTGACTGGCAGGAGCATACATCTGTTGATGGGAGAAAGTATGTTACTCAACCAATGTTTCAGATTTAGGCCAAATATCTTCCTACATGTCACTCTCTGTACTGTAGATTTGTGTTCATGCAGTTCCAATTCGAAATTGATTATTTTTAGTTAGAAATTGTTTGTAAGCTTCTCACTTTTTGTACCTTTCATAAGGTCTTCCATGCTTCCTTTTTTTTTTTGTTTTTGTTTTCATGGTTCTGGGTCTATGAATTGGCTTATCTGATATATACTTATCTTTTCTAGGTATTATTATAACAAGCGGACGAAACAATCAAATTGGGAAAAACCTCTTGAACTGATGACACCACTTGAGGTAATACTTACAAAGTAGTCTGTCTTCTAAGATGCTTTTCATTTTACTGGTTGTTTAAGCTTACCAGGCTTTTAGTGGGTGTGCCACTTCACTAGTGATGTAAATGGTTGCATGCTTTGTCTGGAAAAACGTTGTTTAATTTGCATTATTTTTTCCACTTATTTGGAAACTCCATGGTAATTGTGGAGATATATATATAACGACTGCTACGTGCTCATCTGAAAGCAGCTTTCACTTTATTGAAACAGGCTACCGATGCTTTTCTGTTTCTCATTTCTTTTTGTGTAAATCCTTAGGTGTCAACTTTGTAGACAGTTTGGGGTTAATTTGCTAATTTATTATGCTCGTTGGATTAAGAATCTCCTGATAATCCTTTTTGCGTTTTTAGATTAAGATCAAATCTATCGTATCTATGCATGATTTTACAGTTTCTAAAATCTCTTTCTGCAGAGGGCTGATGCATCCACTGTATGGAAGGAATTTACAACACCTGAAGGAAAGAAGTATGCATCTTTAAATTTCATTTAGTCTTTGTATCATACTTATTCTCTATTGTTGCAACTGATTAGTTGTTTTAATTTATGCAGATATTATTATAACAAGGTTACAAAGGAGTCTAAGTGGACAATTCCGGAAGATTTAAAGGTCTACCTATTTATCTCTCTCTCATGCACATTCCCCAATGCAAAGCCTACGTTAAACCTGTGTAGTTGTTGTATGCAGTTAGCTCGGGAACAAGCCCAACTAGCTAGTGAAAAAACGTCCCTTTCAGAAGCTGGATCTACCCCTCTGTCCCACCATGCTGCATCCTCGTCTGATCTAGCGGTTAGCACTGGGACTTCTGTTGTTCCCAGCACATCTTCAGCACTTCCTGGACATTCTTCAAGCCCTATTCAAGCGGGTTTGGCTGTACCTGTCACTCGTCCTCCCTCTGTTGCTCCTGTTACTCCAACATCTGCTGCAATTAGTGATACTGAGGCTTCTGCAATGTACTATTTTTCCTTGGGAAGTTTTTTTTTTATGAGTATACACTCAATCAAGCCTTTGAATTTAACTCTTGTGCCCATCATAACAGAAAAGCCGATAATTTACCGTCTCGGGGGGCAGATGATTTAAATGATGGAGCTACAGCACAAAACAATGAGGCATGATTTTAATTTTCCTTTTTACATTGACTTGCCTAGATTTTAAAATTCTAGTCTTATGTATTCCGTTTACCTGATTTCTACTTCAGCTTCATGTAAAAAGAGGTCAATAATAACTTGTACAAGTTATTGGAAGACTTATGTTCAATAATTACTATACGTGTGATGATGTGGTGGTGTCATGAATATTTATGGTCTAGTGTTACACCTTGGTATGCTTTCTAATTATTTTGAATTTTTTGTTAGGCTGAGAATAAGGAAATGTCTGTGAATGGAAAAGCCAATTTGTCACCTGCTGGTGACAAAGCAAATGTCGAGGAACCTATGGTATATGCTACTAAGCAGGTACTTTCTTATCCTAATTTTCTCCTCCTGATATTTCTCATATCTGTAGCATAATGTTTTATTTGCCATCCATCAATTTTTGCACTGTTGGTTATTTTTTTCTAGGAGGCCAAAGCTGCTTTCAAGTCTCTTTTGGAATCTGTAAATGTTCATTCCGACTGGACATGGGAACAGGTAATCTGGATGTATACGCAAGTATTTGTGTCACTGATCAATATGGCCTGCATTCTCTCCCTAACCTTCTACTTGGTTCATTGCTGACCTTATCCATCCCCTTATAGACATTGAAAGAGATTGTTCACGATAAAAGATATGGTGCTTTGAGAACACTCGGTGAGCGGAAACAAGCGTTTAACGAGGTATGTAATTTCTTAGTTCTTAGCTATAATGTGCAAATGCGTTTTTATATCCTGTCTATGTAATGTGTTGCAGACTTCCAGTCTTTATTTGTGATGTAATTATCTGATAAATATAAAATTTCAGTATCTTGGTCAAAGGAAAAAAGTGGAAGCTGAGGAAAGACGAAGGAGGCAGAAGAAAGCTAGGGAAGAATTTGTCAAGATGCTAGAGGTATGTACCAAAGGAGTCAGAAGTTTAGTGTTTGGTTTGATTAGTGTGACTGATTAGCTGATTATGTTATAATAATATTTCCTGACCTCAGGAGTGTGAAGAACTTTCATCATCCATGAAATGGAGGTGTGGCTTTCAGTTAATCACAACATCTTTGGTTCTTGTCTTTATTGTATATTTGACATATGTGCTAACGGAAACTATTCCTTCACCAGCAAAGCAATGAGTTTGTTTGAAAATGATGAGCGCTTTAAAGCTGTTGATCGTCCTAGGGATCGTGAAGATCTTTTTGACAATTACATTGTGGAACTTGAGAGGAAGGTAACCATGTGGCTTTTTTGGGGGGCTTTCGTTTTCATTTGTTGATTTAGCTTTTTGATTGTTTGGTGTGATACTTTACTCTGCTAAGCAAAACAAGGCATGCCTATGAACATGAAGGCGTTGGACGAGGGATTTTTAATTTTTTTGGTTATTACAGTCCAAATAGTATTCGACGTCAGTATGATCACAAGAGACATGTCATAATTACGGCGAAGCAATTATTTGGGTGGGCCTTTAGATTGTGGCTGAGATAAGATCTGGTGCACCAGCATGGTGGATTTTAAAGCTTCTATAGAGAATATCGTTTGTTGCTTTGTAGAAGAGGCAAATTCATTGTGTTTGAACTGACATAATGAATCCTTTAATCTGCAGGAAAGAGAAAAGGCAGCGGAGGAACATCGGCAGCATATGGCTGAGTATCGGAAGTTTCTTGAAACCTGTGACTATATCAAAGTATATCATTCTTTGTGAAGCTTGTTCCTGCATACCTTTTTATTTCATAGACCTTGTCATAATACCTTTTATTATATGTATTTGAAGGCTGGTACACAATGGCGCAAAATTCAAGAGAGACTGGAGGATGACGAAAGATGCTCATGTCTCGAAAAGATAGATCGTCTGATTGGTTTTGAGGTAAGTAACTTCGTCGAGTAGTTCAGACTCCCAAATAAAATTTGTTTCTAATGTTTGTTATCCCAGGAATACATGCTTGACTTAGAGAAGGAAGAGGAGGAGCAGAAGAGAGTAGAGAAAGTAAGGTCAATGTTCATGGTTGTAACCTCATATTTGTTCTTATGTAGTCCAATGCTCATGGTTTCATTTTCTTGTGGAGCTAGGAACATGTAAGGCGGGCCGAGAGAAAAAACCGTGATGCACTTCGTACACTTTTGGAAGAACATGTTGCTGCTGGCATCCTTACAGCCAAGACATACTGGTTGGATTATTGCGTTGAGGTGTCTGACCAATTTAGATCTTTACTGGAAAAATTATATTTTATGTTGGATTCTTTTGCTCAGTTATTTTATGTACAGTTAAAAGACTTGCCCCAATACCAAGCTGTTGCATCTAATACGTCTGGCTCAACTCCGAAAGACTTGTTTGAAGATATCACAGAAGAATTAGAGAAACAGGTATTTGGACTAGATACAGTGTATTTCTCTATTGGTAGACTATTCTAGCTATGCGTGAATCTGATAGTTATGATAATCAAACCTTTTTTGTGTTTTGATTGACAGTATCATGAGGACAAGAGTTACGTAAAGGATGCTATGAAGTCAAGGAAGGCAAGTCAAGGATTTCTCCTTATTCATTTTACCAACTTTTATCTAATCGCTTTCTCTACAGATTTCCATGGTCTCCTCGTGGCTGTTTGAAGATTTTAAATCTGCTATTTCAGAAGATCTCAGTTCTCAACCGATATCAGATATAAATTTAAAGGTACGGGCTCAGTTGTAAAAAGAACATGTGTCAGTACAAAAATTAATCAACAGAAACGGCTATCTAATCTGTGTACATTGGAAGATATATATTAGGTGTAAAGTTCAGTTATATAGGCTCTAATTTATTTATTTTTCCCTTGTTTATCAGCTTATATATGATGACTTGGTTGGGAGAGCGAAGGAAAAAGAAGAAAAAGAGGCCAGAAAGCTTCAGCGTCTGGCTGAAGAATTTACCAATCTGTTGCACACTTTCAAGGTATATCTATCTTACATTCTTACCCATGGTGACTTTCTTTTTGTCTGGATTCGCTGGGATGTTAAAGATAATTTTTGGTTTAGGAAATAACCGCAGCTTCGAATTGGGAAGATAGCAAACAACTATTAGAAGAAAGTCAAGAGTACAGGTAAATAGTTTCTTGCTTTGAATAGGTTGCTTCATGACTTACCAAATAGTCTTGTAAGCCAACACCTTAAGTAAAAAAAAGATTGTGGTATTACTTTCTTAATGTCCCATTTTTGAAAATCCTCAGATCGATTGGAGATGAAAGTGTTAGCCGAGGGTTATTTGAGGAATACATAACAAGTTTACAAGAAAAGGCAAAGGAGAAGGAGCGTAAGCGTGATGAGGAAAAGGTACTGATTCTTCGTGCATGGAATTTATTTTTCTTTTGTGTAAGAACGGATCTCTTAGACTTTATTGTTGTGGACTTTTTCAGGTTAGAAAAGAGAAGGAAAGGGACGAGAAAGAGAAACGGAAAGACAAGGATAAGGAGAGAAGGGAAAAGGAAAGAGAACGTGAAAAAGAGAAGGGAAAAGAGAGGAGTAAACGGGAAGAATCAGATGGTGAGACTGCTATGGATGTGAGCGAAGGTCACAAAGACGAGAAAAGAAAGGGAAAAGATCGTGACAGAAAACATCGGAGACGGCATCACAATTCTGATGAAGATGTCAGTTCTGATAGGGATGACAGAGATGAGTCGAAGAAGTCCTCTCGTAAACATGGTAATGATCGTAAAAAATCAAGAAAGGTTCGACTTCAATTCTGACTTAGCTAAGCTTTAAAACTATTTGGTGGGATAAAGATTTAAAATAAGAGGGATGGTTTTTCTTGGCAGCACGCAAACTCACCTGAATCAGACAGTGAAAACCGGCATAAAAGACAGAAGAAGGAACAGCGGGAAGGTAGTCGTCGAAGTGGTCATGACGAGCTAGAGGATGGAGAAGTTGGGGAGGATGGTGAAATCCGACATTAATCGCTGACAAGTCGTAAAAAGTATTTGTCACATTTTTGCTTCATCTGGAAACCTTTCTACATCTCAATTACTTTCTTGATTCATCTTTTTACACTGTAATGATATTTTTACTTTCTTTTCAGTCCTCTGTTAATTGGATATATACCGAAATCTTTAATTCTTACTGTCAACGGGGAAAATTATCCAAAAAAAGTAGACTTGAGAAGCAAAAAAAGGAATAAGAAACACTAAAGATCAAATAAATTATTTATTATGGTGAGTCAATTACGATTGCACGAGTGTTTGGACACAAACATATATATCTTTGAGCCAGCTTTCATTTGGCACCGGTTTGAGGCAACTTCAATTGACTGTTTGAGGTAATGATTTTGGGTCGTATTTGGGTCGCAGATGACCGAACCAATTTCATTTTGGTTCTTATGTACTATGTAGGTCACAATGTTTCTTATCCTTGTAACTTGTGTGTTCACCAAGTTCAAGTGTTGTATATGAGTTTTCTTTTACTAATTGATTGGTACTTCGGAACTCAGAATCCACGATCGTCCAACTCTCTTTAAAATGAAACCATCGTTCATACCGATTGACACTTGATTCCACCATTACAATTCCTTACCATCTTATGCTTTCTTTCTTAGCTGTCCACCATTGGTTGTTAAGAACGGTTTGGTTAGATGCTCTTTCCGGGTATTCATACATCTTTTTAGAACATTTGACAAAAAAAAGTTGGTCTGCAATGAGGTCTTGGAACACTGGCTAACCCACGCGACAACTTACAACATATCGTACGAATTGCTATTCCCAATTACTTGGGATAACAAGTAATCATCTATGATCGTTTTCTCTTCCACTGCGCGCTGCAACTATATCCATATTACAGTTGATCCTGGAAATTTTCAACACTCATATATTTATGATCTCTTGGCGACTGTTCCAAAGTACATCTACAAATTTGTGCATGTTGAAACTCAACCTCCATCCACCCGCACATTCATGGATGCTCCTTCACCACCGTCTTATCAATGAAGTAAGCAACTGCAACAACATACATGAATTCACACATCATTCATTAGCATCACCTTTGAACATACACGATAAATACTGAAACAGATGTAAGCAAAGGTTCCAACTTTCTTCTTGAACTTAGAAAAATACATTCACAGACCTCAAATAGCTCGAATGCACTGCCCTTCCGATACGTATCATCTTTCTTCTTGGACTCTGTAGGAAGCACACTGAATAACAATGCTCTCCATCCGATAAGTAAAACAGCAGTACTTCCCATTGTCACCAACACAAAGCTAGAAGCCGGGATGTGACCCGATGAAGCTGACCTAATGATAATTCCAAGCTATAACGAAAGGAACAAGCTTTCAACAGTTTAGTAGAGATACTAACATCCTAAAGCTACATTAATAGTTCAGTTTAGTAAATGCAGTCTTACCGGAGCTCCGACAATCCAAGATTTCGCAGCTGCAACCACAGCTTTAGACTGACCCTTCATTCCTCGCCCTTCCTCCGCATATCCTCCCAAGAAATAAGCACTAAGAAACCATCCTGCCACACAAAGTTTCCATTTTTACTTGAAACAAAGCTTCTCAAACCCAAGATAGATAAGCGAAAACGAATAAATACCGGCAATGAAAGGGTCAGCTGTGTGGAGAGTGTCAATAGAAAAAACAGGGAAACCATGGCTAAATCTCCCAATTGCAGAGAAGATAAGCAAAGCTAAAACATCACCACCAGCAAGTAACGCAACACGACTGAAGAAACAACACAAAAATTTGAGATAACAAAACAAAAAGCAATCATTCCTCTAGAGAGACTAAACCAAAGCAAAGGAAGAGTTTTTATTACCCCCATTTGGTAATGTTAGAAGATGAAGCAGATGATGATGGTTTATCGAATTGAATCACACCCTCGAGAGGAACATTCTCTTGACCCACAAATACTGTGTCATCTCCTGAAGACGGGATTTGAGAAACTGAGGTTGATGGTTTGGACTTGACGCTTCCGTCGGGGTTAGAGAGAGCGAGTACGACGCGTTGCCGTCTCCGGGGAGTGATTGGCGCAGGGAAGAGCCATGAATCGGGAGAAGAGAAAGCAGAAGGTTTTGATTTGGTGATGAATTTGACGGCGGAGACAGGTCCGGTGGGAGTGCGAAGAACTAACATTCTCATTGTATCTTGTCAAGGCAATCGTCCGCCACACTCTCATATTGATGATATCATCATTTTTCTTTTTAGTAAAACGAATCTAATTTTTTATATAGAATAAAATAAAAAATGCCATTTTATTAGTGGCATTTAAATATTTGTCATTTTTACTAAAATCTTACTGAATTGCTATTTTAAACATTTAAAATATATATATTTATGATTTTTTCTCCTAAAATACATATTTTATAATAAATATTAAACTCTAAGAACAAATGGAACCGACTAAACACAAATATAACAGGTGAAACATATATTAAATCATATTTTTAATCTTAAAAATGATAAATCCATAAAATTTTAACCAAAGTGGCAAAATCAGTAAATGCTACTAAAAAAATAACAAATTCGTAATTGATTCATGAAGTAAAGCAAAGCCCGAAAGTCTCGCCCGACCAGCTCGCCGTGGAGCGGGTGTGGATCTAAAATTTCAATCTGCAAAAAAAAGGATTTTGCAGAGCGGGTGTTCATAAATTACGGGTTTTTAGGGATAAATCCATGGGCTTTAAATATATATATATATAATTATTTATAAATTTAACTCATATATAATAGTAAAATCTTAAAATAGTTTGCAACATATATAAAATAATTATCAAAACTTAAGTTTTTCTTAAAAACTATGTGTATTAATGTTTAAAATTACTATTAATTATTTTTTTCTTTAAATATATTTTAGAAATTTGAAAATAATTTATTTATATACCCGCAGGTCCCTCAAACTCAAACATGGCGGGTTTTGTGCGGGTTAAAAAATTTTAAATCCGTTGCGGAGCGGGTTTGACCCGCTGACAGCTCTAGTTGTGGTGGCTAGCTTGGTTAAAAACTTCATATCCCAACTTTCCAAGATCGATTACTTCCCTTTACCACAACATTAAATTTTAGTTTTCTTTTTTAATTGGGCCATAATTCATTCTTCAACTTTTGACTTATTTTCATCTATGTTTTTTTCTAGTGTGTATTTTAATCAAAGTTTTCCTCCATTGCGGTTACATGTTTATGGACATCATAGGAAGAGTGTCCACTTATCTACTTAACATTTTTGAAGTACAAATTTGCTCTTCTAATCGGGTCGGGTTTTTTATGATTTTGACCCGGAAATCTTCAATCGGATCTTTCCTTAAATTATGACAAAATTTAAAAACGAAAATACCTAATAAACTCTAAATTATATATATTTTCTCAACTAATTACTATATCTAAACTATTTATTTATGGTATATTTTTTACAATTTTTATAGATTAGAAAATCAAATATGATAATTTAATGCTACTATAATTTAATTGAACTAATTTCCTAAAACCTCTCTACCTAATTTAAACATAAATATATGATTCTCATTTCACTTTTATTTGATCTTATATTTATATTATTTTGAATTATTATAAAATATATATATAGTTAAAGAATTTTTGTTTTTTTTTTCCTGCATATGTTATGATTCAAATTTCTTAAAACAAACATATATTACTCAATTGATGAAGAAACAAAATATGTGTGTAATCTATATTAACATTTTTAAGAACAAATTGCACATTTAATCAAGTCGTTTTTTTCATTCTGACCCGAAATTGAGTCATTCAGATCTTTTCTTAATTTCTACAATAATCTAAAACGGGACAGTATACCACTGGTGAGATCCTAAAATTAACAAATCAAAATATAATTATTTAGTATTTTAAGATACAATTATAAATTGTTTTTACGGGTTGGTCCAAAAACACATACTAATTTAAAAATATATATATTATGGAAACCATTTGAAAGTAAACTTTTAAATTGACTCGAATTATATGTCTTTTAAATAAAAGTGTTGTTAAAAAATAACAAAATGATGTTTAATTCCACAGGACATGAGTATATGGTGGGACGGGTTTGGATCGATATTAATACGGGACAATATACCACGGGTGAAATCCTAGAATTAACAAATCAAAATTTAATTATACAAGCTTAAACGGTAAACAAAACAAATACAACTTCAAATATTTATTTTTTATATACAACGCATGTGACCCGCGGTGTACAACAAAAAATATTATACACAACAAATTCATCAGTTTATAAAAAGATAAAAAAATAATAATAATTAACCCGCAGTGTACCGCGGGTCATATCCTAGTCTATTATATTAAAGAGGCAGCACAAAAACGATTTTAACATATGCTTTTTTAAAAAAATTTCATTTTTGCCCTTACTATAGAGGATGTATCCAAACACACTTAATCAGCTTCTATTTTTTTTTTAACTAGATATTAATCGTGTTGTGTTTGGGAATGGATATACTCCGTTCTCATCGCGGTTTACATATTCGGATTGAGAATTGTCTACGTGTACTTGACTGATTGGCTATTGTTTTCTTCTGCGAAAAAAATAAATAAATAATCAATTAAACATATCTAATAAGAAAATCAGAATAAATATATCTCCCTAATAATTAGTACTTGCCATAACTAATATAATTAAAAAAAAATAATTCAAATTTGAAATTCTGTTTTTAGAAGCCGTGTTTAATGCGATTTACAAATCTACAAACTTACCAAACATAAAATAGTGACCGATTAAAATAAATTAATTAGATTTCCAAAATAACAATACCTAACAAAATGATCACCAAAATGTCCCACATCGCTAAGAATTTTGGGTAGTGGCTCAGAATCATCTATATAAACACCAAAAAGTTTCACTTAAAGTGTAATCTACATATACAGTTCCAACTCATATATTATAGAGTGTAAACTCTATAAAAAGTTTCAATCTTATTAATATTTAATGTTTATAAAAGTTTTAAAACAATGATATACTATTTAGGGTTTATAAGAATTTAAAATATTACGAATAGTTAAACTCTATAAGAAAAAGAGAATATAATATGTCATATATTTCTTCGTGATGCTATGTCATATTTCTCTTACACATGTGCCTGCAAAAGTTACTTCCACAATGTTTGTTCTAAGTTAACTGGTATCCTAAGTGAAATTTTACAATGATGTATTTTTTTTTTTAACTTTAGCATATATGGGTTACGTATATATAAATATAATTTTGTATATTAATGAATATATAAAGTATTTGAAACGTTGATGGAATGTCTATGTCTAATTTTATATTAACTATTTAACATTGATTTTTTTTTTTGTCAGATTATTCGCTACTTACATTCTCACGTTTTCGCAAGATAACATTGTAACAAATGTTGAATTGAATTGATTACATTCGACATCTTAACCATTTTTTTGGATATTTCATAAATATAAATATAAGAGTTATTTTGAAGATTTTGCAATCTATATTATCAAAGGGGCAAAACAAAAATGAAAATGTCCAAAAATATTTCATATTGACAATGAAATGTCATTACTATATATAGAGGGTGTTTCCATATAGAATTAAAAGTGTTTTATTTCGTTTTCAAAGAAAAAAAACAGGATCCTATTTGGAGTCGGATTTGATCTATTCGGATTGTGAATTACTTATCCGGTTCAAAAATAACCAAGTGTATTTCTCTGAATGGCTGTCGAATTACTCCGAAAAAGAAATAAATACATATTCAATTAGACAAATATAATAAGAAAATCATAATCAATATAAGACCCCAAGATTTTGTAATTATCACAACTACCCAACAATTAAATAAATAATTAAATTTTGATCTGTTATGGAATACGATGATTACATCAATTTCAAATATATAAACTAACCAAAAAATGAAAAAAAATTAATTAAAACGTTTATCTTTTTTGGACAAAAAACTTAATTAAAACGTAATCAATTCATCTTAATAAAATTCAGATCCCATAAATTTATCACCTACTAAATTAAAACAGGAAACCAAATCTTACACATGATAAACAAATAGAATGTATCCTAAAATTTCTATTATCGTTAATTTTTAAAATAACAAATCTTTGCAAATATTGTTGACCTCGAAATTGAAAATTTCTCATTAATTAAATTAGTTAATGATAATTTCAAACTTATGATGTCCTATTAAATTCGTAATTTATCAAAATAAATCTGCATCCGTATGTTTGGTAAGTCCTAAAAAAATCTTAACAAAAAGTTAAAAATCTCAAATTCCAAACTCTTAATTTGTTTATGTAATTATATTTTGAAGATAAAGAATTATATATCTTTTATGTAAGTTTTTTTTAATTGTATTTGAAATTTGGAACGAAATATTTGTGTTTAAGCAGTGTTTTCACGCCCGATCCGATTAGTCTGGTCCGACCGGTTAATCTGTGATCCGGACACTTTTATTAATATTTAAGGTTTTTTAAAAAAATCATAAATATTAATAATATTATAAAATTTTAAATTTTGTTTGTAATATATCTATTTTAAAACAAAATTTATAAACCTTAAATATTATAATATTATTAATGGAAAATAAATCACGTTAATGAGATAATCTTATATAATATTCTGATTTTTAATCAAAAAGTGAAAATTAACCAATTTTCGTCAAATCAATAAAGGCGATTTCAAGAACAAACATATGCATTTCCTTTTAGTTTTTAGGATTGAAAATTATTATTCTTCTATCATCTTTGTTTGATTTTATTTTCAAATTATATTGAATTATTATATAATACATATAGTTAATAAAAATGTAGTTTTTCTGCATATATTGTGATTCAAGTTTTTAAAAACGGAAATATATTATTCAATCAATGCAAAAAGTGTATTTTCAATGTCGCACATCGTTAAGAAATTTTGACAATGTCTCATAGTCATCTATATAAATACCAAATGATTTGAGATTGAATGAGTATAAAATTTGACTTATCAAGCGTACAAACTTAAAAATCTTATTCGGTATAATCTGGTTCTTTAGGTGAACTAATAAATTTACCGAATATATAATTTTTAGAAAAATATGTTTAAACATTTAAAAGGTTTCATATATTATAAAAATATTTAAACTTTATAAGCGTTTAAAATATTAATAATATTAAAACTTAAAAAAGTTTAAAATATCGATAATATTCAAAATTTAGAAAATTTAAAATAGTAGTA